GGGGGGGGGGGGGCAACTGATAATGACTGCCTATCGCAAGTTAGCAATGGTTCTAGTTAGGGTCGATAAGGAATTTGCTGATAGGTAAAGTCAGGCGATGCCTGATTGCGCTTCTTGGCCATATACAATAATAAGGGGGGCAACTGATAATGCAAGTTAGCAATCTGATATGATATTCTCCTGATTCTACTGATATTTCAAGGTTCATCGCTGATCATCCGGATTTCATTGGCCTCAAAGTGATCTACGCTCCACCGAGATTCGTAAATCTCACTAGGTTCGATGAATACGGGAGAATCTTAAAGGAAGCTATAAGAAATTATCCAGGCTTTGTAATCGGATTCGATCTCGTTGGCGAAGAAGATGCGGGACACCCTCTCTCGTATTTTGCAGACAAATTGCGAACTTTCCATTCGGATATTAAGTTCTTTTTCCATGCCGGAGAGACGAATTGGTATGGAACTTCGACCGATAACAATTTACTCGATGCCGTTTTGCTCAACACCAAGAGAATCGGCCATGGGTAAGATCAGCTCAACTCGACAAGTACATCCACCTTGTCCATTTTATTTGCTTTATCTTTTATCTCTACGAAAAATCACACTTCAAATGTTTTAGTATGAGAATCCCAATAGATCTTACGGATCAGATATAATTTATCTCATTGTACTTGTCACATGGTTCGAGAGTATGATTACGGAAAAATTGATTTCACACCGTAAAGTTTAAGTCCGCTATTCCTTAGATACTCAATATGCAAAGAGAGTGTTCAAGTTAGAATATTAATAATTCTTTGATCGTTGACATTGTGATTTTAATGAATTTACATGAATTCTATCAAATCAGATTCGCCCTAACGAAGCATCCGAGGGTTTTGGACATTGTAAAAAAAAGAAAAATCGCCATCGAAGTCAATCCCATCTCCAACCAAGTACTCCGACTGGTGACGGATTTGCGAAATCATCCTGCCAGCGCGCTCTTCGCTGAGAATGTTCCTGTGGTTGTGTCGAATGACGATCCTGGCACATGGAGCGCCAGAGCTCTGAGCTACGACTTTTACGAAGCCTTCATGGGAATAATGTCGGCGAATGCTGATCTAAGGTCGTTGAAGCAACTGGCGCTCAATTCCATTGTCTTCAGCGGCATGGATTATACCGAGAGAGCGAGAGCGCTGACGCTTTGGAAAAAGAAGTGGGCCAATTTCATCGGTGACCTGGTGGCAGGCAACACGGTCATTTGCGCATGAAAACTGACTTTCACGCGTCTTCTTGGTGAATATAACCAGACGTAGTACATCGTGTTAAATCGAACGAGAGCCGAGAATCTTTATTAATTTTTTAGGATTGAATACCTCCTGCGTGCATTCTACGAATCGGAAAGTTCAATTCGCTATTTGTTGAAGAAGATTAAAGGCTGAGTAAGACGTCTTTATTATCTGCAAAGATATCATTAGATTTTTCTAGCGTTTTTAAAATAAGCTATATTACACTCGAAGGTCGAAACTTACCCACATAAATGTACTAAGAGACAGGATGAAGATTCCGTTACAGGAAACGTTGAGTTCCCGTTGACTCATGAGGATTATGAGCTTTAGACTTTTTTTTTCCTTTGGAGAAAATTTAATCCAGTCACTCTTGTATACTGTGTCACCTATGCTTCTGCTCTGTTGGCATAAGGCAGGATCATTTATATCTCACGTGTAATTATTTTCATCGATGAAATCAACATTGGCGCACGACAATAATACAAACTGCACCAACTGTGGCTAATCTCGGCTGTATGATTATCAATTGCAGAAATCGTCTGATTATGCAAAATTATACGATTATTACTCTTTTCTGATTTATCATTATTGACAGGCTTAAGGAAGTCTTTTGGTAAGACTTTCTTATCGAGACGAACAATTAAGCATTCGCGGGTCAAGTGGTAGAGCTCGGTCAGCACATAGCAAACGGTCAAATGATTGGAGGAGCAAAGGATCATAGGAACCAGTTGCCTCCAGAGTATTATTGATCACGAATATTTATGTGACCACTGCTGCGGATCAAATGTGAAATCTATGTAAATTCAATACATCGAACGTTTAACCGTATCCATTAGCAAATGCAGTTTATTCGATTGTAAGGTGAAGATAGATATTTAATTGTTGTATAAATTTACTGAAATAAATTACGAGAAATGGAGAATTAAATGTATTTACTTACTTTCGACTGGAGTTCATTCCCGTAGAAGCAGTAGAAGAATGTTTGAAAGAGCATGCATGCCAGGTAGAGTTGCAGTGCAAAGAATTGGACACTCGGCATGTCTTGCTGGTTAAACGAAGGTAGCAGATTACAACATTATACCGTCGAGTACTTTGAAGTAACCAACCTTCGATATCTGATATACAGTCGTACACAGCGTGATTAAACTAGTGGCAAACAGGATGCCGATCACTCCGCCGAAGAGCGTTTCAATTTTTCCAACGCCATTCCTTATAAGAACGTGATGCTCTACGCAGGAGCCCAGAGAACGTTGGGCTTCTTCCTTCGGTCCGTTAATTCCGCCGAGCCTCTTAGCACTACACCGATCGACGTGTTCGGCCAGCCTAAATGATAGCGTATCCAGCCGAGCGGATGTTTGAAGCATAAATCCGTAAACCAGCGTGTCACAGGAAACGTTAAGAAATACGGAAGCAGTTACCGAAGTCGCCTGGATAATATAGGACGCGGCGTAAGGAATCGCACTCGAAGTGTCGTACAGTTGGTAGGTCTTGAAGGGAAGCAGGGGCGTGTCGTCGTCACTGGCGACGAGAAACGGTTTGACTAGCAGCGCGAAACACGTCACTTGAGAGAGACACATAATCCCAACGAAAATTCTCCTGCACCTGCTACGACACTTTTTAAGCAATTTTTCTTCAGCTAAATTGTCTAATTTTAAAAGATCCTCTCGAAAATAGTTCAAGAGCTTCGATATTTCACCGCGTCGGAAAGAAAAATTAACAATTTTACAACACATGGAGACAAATGTCGTCGTAAGGAATAACTGTTCCGTAAGGCTCTCTACTCCGCCTCCGTTAAGTATGAGTTCGATTGCCTGGGTTATGGTGAAGTGAAAGATTAGTCCAACGGTGAGGACTCTTCGGAGAGCCATGGAAAAGTCAGAATATCCTGGGCTGACTTCCGACCACAATCCAAATAGTTGAAATATCTTGAAATTCATTGGCAGAACATCCATAGCGTCTTTCCTTTGCCGTGCGGCGTCGCGCTATCTCAGAAATGTTGCCGCAGTGACCTAAGTCATTCACATATAATTGTGGGGAATCTTTGAGGCTCCTGAATTACTTATTCACCGAGGAATAATAGTAGCAAAGGATAAGAAAGAATAATTATTTAGAAAACGTCATGTTGCGATTCGTTAAGACATGTAATTAATTCTCTCACATCGTATACTTAATAATTAATTAGCATCGGGAAAGTACATTTGCCTGTACATTCTCTCTAGGCAAATATATTATTACAGCCTTTCTTATTCTATAAATGATAGGGGACGATCAGTGGCGGTTAAGATTCCTTGAAGGTTTTTCATTCGTCGAATTCTTCTCGAGGCCAAGACTTGCCCTTATAAAAAGTGTAGGTATTTTGTTTTCATTAATAGGACTTGCAGAATTCTCGTTAACACTTGGATTACTCGGGTCCGTCTCATCCATCAGGGATCTCTGCGAAAGTACACTTTTCGGATTTTTCCATTGACCGATAACCTGATGTACCCTTTTTTGGAAATCGATCAAGGAATCTCTTGGCAGTAAGCCGTTCGACGTAAAACTCTCGGAATTGTACAGTTTCAAATCCGCTTCCGTCATATTGATCAACTGCCGCAAAACCAAGTAGAGAAGATATCTCTTTCTATTCAGACCAATAAGTTGGCCACTGTTCATCATACTTTCAAATATACTGTAGTAGAAGTCGTCAGGCTCATTTCTTGGATTGAATAACTTTTCGAGGAGTAAGGGAGGATTCTTTGATAAATTCAGTCGAATGCTTTCAGGTTCCCTGATTGGTCTCGTATAGGCATTGCTACTGAACGGATAGCTATGGATATTCAAATAGAGCTCAGCAGTTCGCGTTAACGAGTCGTTTGCAAGACTCGAATTTTTTGACAAATTATGGAATAAATTTGGCGATTTTTGGAAATTTTTTGGCTTTTTATTGATCCTTAAGAAAAGTTGAAGGAAATCGGAGGAGCCGGTATTCTCATTCGTCATACTCCTGTACGCTCTGGTGAGTTTGGTTGATTCAGAGAGTGCGGATGGATCATCCGGTGGACTTTTCTTAATCCGGACTCTAATTGGGTTTCCATTAAAATTAATTTTGAATTCGTCCATGCTATTTAATACATTGTGATGTTGGAGAAAACTTGATAAGGTATTCGTGTTGAAGTCAATTTTTACGTCGTTTATCAAATCCCAAATGTTCGACATCTCGAAATTCGTCGATTTTAACTTGGAATTTTGTGAGAAAGTATAATGATCCGCCCGACCATCCTCACCAATAATTGCTGTTCCCTCATCAATAGTTGATGTCGCAGTTTCGTGTCTGGCGCCATAAATAGGTAGAATTCGTGTTTCATCAGATCCGCCATTTGAACTGAAATTAAGACTGAGGGGCCGCTCTGCAACGTAATAAGGTCGAAGGGAAAACGCCTTGACGTTCATTTTTCTGCTCTGAGGAATAGTAGTTTGCTCGACTCTCCGATCATTTGCGTTTTTCAATTTATTGTTCTTGCTCTTCGCCTGAAGTAATAATTTTTGTACGAGCAGTGCCTTGTCTTCGACCTTATAATTCTCATTCTCTGTGTCCTTTTTATGCATAAATTCAGTGACGCCTTCAAAATTTTTCCTTATTCCACCTGTTATCGTAATATAGGACTTTGTTACTGCGGGACGTCCGATGGGCTCAGGTTCATCGTCGTACAGATTATTTCCATCTTCTTTCTTTTCTTCTTGTTCTTCTTCTTCCTCTTCTCGTTGAAAATTCATTGCATCATCGTGAACTTCGAATGGATTCTTCAATTTTTTCCCATTTTTCTTTTTATTAGGAGACCCAATGCCTTCCCACGATACCGTACCACCGTCCTCTATATTTTCGTGCTCAAAAACAATTTTCTTAGTTGCTTCCAAAGGATTCTTCGTTGATTTTGTTATCTTTTTCTGGAATATTACGTCAGTATCACTTTCCCAGTCTACCGTCTCGTCAATGGAATACGCCTTTGTCTTGATGTCCCAAGAATTTGTAACCGTCGAACTTGAGCTACTGGAAGTTGACCGTGATGCCGTAGGGGATGACTGAAGGAACGTTTGATGTTGATCATCAATTGGTTGACTGCTTGCATTAAGGGTATCCGTGGTCCAATTTGTCAACGTATACATCGACGATGACATCTTTGGCGTGCTTGGACCAGCTGGCACTTTGGAGGAATTGTAGCCATTGGCATTCTCATTTTTCTGCTCATAGTCCCAACGGTTATTCGGGACAATAGAATTAACTGATTCAACGCTCTTCGAGCTATTCGTCACTTGTTGTAATTCGCTCTTGGCCGACAAAACCATTTCGCTATTCGAATGCTTTTCACTAGTCACGTTTTCCATTCTTCTAGTAGATATAGTCGGCACTGAACTGGAGATCGTGTTGATTTCGACTACTGCTGGACCCGATGACACTGTTGTCGATTCGAGATTCATCGGTAATGTTGATAAGTACGGTAAATAGGTCTCGTCGGCGTTCTCGGAAACATTATGTTCGGACAATCGCAGGTCTACTTCCCCGTTGTAGGCATTCGACATTGGCTCTTTTTGTGAACGCGTTGTAGATTTAAACGCTGGTATATTAATAGAGGAATCAGCCAATTTCGTGTAGATTCCTGAATCCTGATCAGTACGACTCCCTTCGTTGTCTGTGGTACTTGTGTGGTCAGCGGTAGAATGAGCTATGAAGTCCAGAAAATGCGTTGTAGATTTAAACGCTGGTATATTAATAGAGGAATCAGCCAATTTCGTGTAGATTCCTGAATCCTGATCAGTACGACTCCCTTCGTTGTCTGTGGTACTTGTGTGGTCAGCGGTAGAATGAGCTATGAAGTCCAGCAAATGCGTTGTAGATTTAAACGCTTCTATATTAAAAGAGGAATCTGCCAATTTCGTGTGGATTCCTGAATTCTGATCAGAACGTCCCCCTTCGTTGTCTGAGGTACTTGTGTGGTCAGCACTAGGATGAGTTACGAAGTCCAGCAAATGCGTTTTAGATTTAAACGCTGTTATATTAATAGAGGAATCAGCCAATTTCGTTTGGATTTTTGAATCCTGATCAGTAGGTCCCCCTTCGTTGTCTGAGGTACTTGTGTGGTCAGCACTAGGATGAGTTACGAAGTCCAGCAAATGCGTTTTAGATTTAAACGCTGTTATATTAATAGAGGAATCAGCCAATTTCGTTTGGATTTTTGAATCCTGATCAGTAGGTCCCCCTTCGTTGTCTGAGGTACTTGTGTGGTCAGCACTAGAATGAGTTACGAAGTTCAGCAAATGCGTTGTAGATTTAAACGCTGGTATATTAATAGAGGAATCTGCCAATTTCGTGTGGATTCCTGAATCCTGATCAGTACGTCTCCTTTCGCTGTCTGTAGTACTTGTGTGGTCCGTACTAGAATGAGTTACGAAGTCCAGCAATTTTCTTGATATTTCAAAATCAGCATCGGACAGTACAGTCGATGCTAATAATGAAATCGTAGTAGATTTTGCGGTCGTAGAACGTTGCCCCAATGGAGAAATGTCGAAGGGAGTTTTTGTAGTTTTGTCGGTAGACTCGTGTGGTTTCTCTTTTAGAATCGAGAATGCATCTGCAGTCTGAGCACTCACGAGCTTTATACCGAATTGTGGTAGAGTCGGAAATGACAACTGGAAATATGGGCGAAGAAAATCTGTGAGTCCAGTCTTGGAAATCGCACCAACGTTATTGTGACTGATGTGTTCAATATTGACCTTCGAATTATTCAGTGAACTTTCATTGACCTGCTGCCAAAGTCCACTCGAGGGCAACGTAGCAAATCCTTGGACGTTCGGGTATGGCGTACTGCTTGGTAAAGTTAAAGTAATATGAAAAGTATTAGCATTTATAGTATTCTCACGAAGAGTTGCAATTGGCGTCTCACTGGTCTTTGACTGATACGGAGGCCAGACTTTCAAAGCCGTTGCCTCTCTTGTCAAAGAAAGAAGCTCTGAGGAAATATTGTCAACGATGGATGGAGAACCAATTTTGTGGGATACGCATGGACCTGATACTGAAATTAATTATAAAGATATGTAACGCAATCTTCAAAATCAGCGAATAACTTGTGGAATAATACTTACACGGTTGGCAAACGTAAGTCTGACTCTGGTTGCAATCCAGACCATAGACTATCGGGCTGTCGTAATCTTCCCTATCTAAATTCAAGCATTCGGTGCCATTATTATATCTCTCAGTATTGCACCAGGGAATGAAACTCTCTCCAGCCCGAGGAATAGGCTCTTGCGTGCTCTCCCACAGCCATTCGCCCTCGAGTCTATCATAAGAATCACGTAGAGGGCTGCTCGTACGTCGGCCATCCGTCCATACGTGTTTCAATTCTATAGACGAGCAACAAACACACATAGGTGCACCAAGTGTTTCATAGAATAAAGAAAAATAATAAACTATTTTACCGTTTCTGTTCTCAAGCATTAATTTCATCATCTGTTTTATAGTCCTCTCCGAATCCAAAAGAACCAAAGTAGCATTCAATTCAGAGCAAGACCTTCGTGCCGCGAGCCACTGCACCGGATTAAATCCGAGCCAATATGTGCATCCTTCGATAGATACGAGGACTGGTGCTTTACCGAGAGATCTCCTACTAGCTGCATGAGGAAGAAAAAGATACATTTACTATTACTACTCGAAATCAGTGCAATACTAATTCACCGACTATTCATTTTATTTTGAGGGATCGGTCATCCATACGTTTTTGACAGATGACGTCGCGTTTCCGATCGCATTTCGCCTCCAGATACACCGGCGTCTCGCATATGTGTCTGTCGAGCATCAGGCACTCGTGAAAACTCTTGCTGCCGTTACGCCACAATCCAGTGTCCTGATTAATTTCATTGGCGGAGGGCAACCACGTCCAGGTAGCGTCCTTTAGATATCCGCCGATCCAAGCGTTCTCTATACCTTCTGAAATAGTCTTTGAGATTTTCAGGACCAATAATAAAGTAGCTGTGCAATACTTGTTAGATAATCTGGCGATTTATCTTATTTTGCCTGAAGGAAGATATTCTACTGTCTGATTTACCAGGTCTGGCACGCAACATGCTCAACGCCAGGGCGTGAGCCTCCACTACGCTTTTCACTTCAGCGATTTGGAGCTTCTCCTTGCGGCACTGAACAACGGCTTCTGCCCAGGTGACACGTGCCGAGTATACCGTGAACTCTTCGTCGCCAACTCGCGTCATAGCAATCATGGTAATTTTTCTAGCGAACATCGCATTCTCATCTACGAAAAGTAATATCGTGTATACCCTGTATTTTAGAGAGCTCAAATATTTCCATTGCTCAATAAGCAACATTATCGAATATATGTACCTTTTTGACAAACAAAAGGCCTGAACCGACTGCACGATAAAGGAACGAAAATTGGCAAGTCGTGATTTCTTCTATCAATCGTCAAGCACTGCATCTTTCTCGGAGGAGAAGTCGGATACCACGGTGGGTAATTCTCGTATAGTGATTTCTCAGTGGCGAGCCTTTGCTGACTTGACACCCAATACCAGGAACCTGCCAGATCCGAACGAGCACCAATCCAAAAGTCATCGAATCCTAAAACCGATCGACTTGTAAAGTATATTGATATTTATAAAAGGCGATTAATGATATTTTTTATCGTTTACCAAAATTACTCTCGGCGATGGCTCGCACAACGAAATCGCTTTTCGGTTCAGAGTCAAGAGTGGCCAGTTGGGCTTTATAACTTAAGCAAATTATATGTGCTTCATCCCAGGTAACGCGATAGCCACAGAGCAAGTACTCGATATCTTGGAATACGAAAGATTCCGTCACTGAATCTTCAGGAACTGAAATTTTCATTGGGTTAGACGTATCTTTGGATGATGTACAACGTTCAATAAAGTCTTTTGGATCCAATAACTGGACTCACTTGGAGATTCGAACAAGCCTAAAATAATGAGATGCTGAGTGTTCAACAGAAGAAAAAAATACATTAACATCTTTTAGAGCAAGTTTATTTTTTTCTGATTGCCGTAGTGATTTCAAGTCAGAAGCACTCTTTCTCGTTGGAGGGTCACTCGCATACTGAATCTTACGTTAATCGACTGTATTTTCAAACAGGCTTCTATGTTTAATGTTACACCAATCAGGAATTCGTTTGTTACGTCGGTACGTTAACGCGGTAACGATATGCATCAACCATTTTTAGAAAGAATAGAGAAGACTTAATATTGTATTTTATAAATGTATGCATACTATGAGTTCGTTTGAAATAATAAAGATTTTTGATACAATTGACAGTCTATGACTTATAATCGTCTTTAGATAAAAATATATAATCCACAACTGACGGTGCGCCGTTGAAGATAGGTAAAAGTCTGCACGTTATGTGCGTCAGCTTCCTATAATCTCAGGCAAGAAAGTGACCATGCTATCGCACACAGCACCAAATATTCCTGAGACGTTGAATGTGAACAGAACGTCCGCGGGGTATTCTTGTAACGTTTCTACGGTGTGAAATGTTTTTTTTTCTAATATTTTCACTTTTAAATAGTCTTTACGTGGATCAAGAATTTGAAATTATTTGGTAATTGATCAAATCGATATCATAGTCGTCTAAACAATTGTTGTGTTATACGAATAATGGTGCATCACATCTCACTCGAATACGACAAAATATAGATGTTTGTAAATTCTTTGAGTCATCGTTTTGGATGATATCGGTGAAGGTGAACATCGTTGAACATGGTGTTCATGGTGACGCCGTAGAACAACTTCGCATGCTGTGGCTAACCGGAAACAAAGAGAGACAGGTTCACAGGACACCTGTGAGGTTGCCATGTCGTGTATCCTATGACGTTCGGAAAATGAATTCGCAAAAGGGGAATGATGAGAGGTCAACTAATCAGGATCGTTGTACTCGGAGTTTTAATAACTCAGTTCCCTATGAAGCAAATTCTAATTTTACAAAAAGCTAATCCATTATAATTAACATGATTTAAAATAATTACTGTTGTAGAAAATATCTTAACAATAAATAATTTTTTTGATTTTCTATAATTTTTACTTAAATTTTGATGAGGTGAGGTGAAGTGAATGGGACGATCTCGATTGATTGATCTGCCATCATTCCGCTGTCGCGATTCCGTTTTTCAAGCATCGTAGGGTTGCAGTCTGAAGTTAGCCAATGCCAACGAATTCAGCGTACATAGAAGTGTATTTCTTATGGCCCTCTTGATGCTCGATTTTGTTGGGGATAGGGGTTAGTTCCTATTCCCAATGGGTAGAGGCGTTGACAGCACCGCTGGCTCTGTGTGGTACATCAATATATTACCGACGCGCGTACACTACTCTAGATACCAGAAAAAGAACAGGCTCCGCCTTTTATTCTATCCTATCTCTCGTTCTCCTACAGCTCTAATGCCTTGGGGATATGATGCGATCGTCGCGCCATCGAGTGGATATTTGAGTCGGAAAATACTTGTCTTCAAGCTAAGCATAGGAAATACACTTCTATGTATGTCTGAATTCGTTGCCAATGCGTCAGTGATCAATGTACGTCCACTTGTGTCGGTAACAGTCGGTAACAATGGTAATAGTCAGTGAGCATTGGTGAGCATCAATGTGCATTGCATTTGCGATAGTGCTATGATGGCTAATTTTGCAAAAACACAGCTTTTGAAATATGGTTGGACTGAAGGTATTGTTACGTAGATTAGATTCTCATCTTTTTTAGTGGATCTTTATTGCACTTGTTACCACAGTGAATAGAAATAATGAATACTTCTTTATTCTGTGAAGCATAACCTCTATTATTTAAATCAAGTTTCTTTTTATCGTTAAATGTTGCAATGAAAAAATCAATTATTTATGACTGATCATATTCTACTTAATTTATTGAATGAATTTCCATATAATCGTAGAAATCTGTAATTGAAACTTGTGTGACTTACTATATTTGCAGGCAAGGGATTGGGCAAAAATGAAAGTGGCATTGTCGAAGCCATAAAACCTAAATTAAAATTTGATAATGCAGGTTTTGGACATAATGCTGCTGAAGAATATACATGTAATTGGTGGGAATCTATGTTCGACAAAGCTGCTAAAAATGTTAATGTTAATTCTGGCATCAACGGTGTTTCTGTAAATACTGTTGATAAAGATGCTGTTCATATTTCCACCAAAAAATCCAATTTAAAAGCTATAAAGAAAAATCATTCCTTAGGCTATGGGAATTTTTTAAAGACTTCAACCTTGTGTGATGGTACAATAACACCAACAAATGATTTTAATAAGCCTATTGATCATGATTATGAGAAAGAAACACCATTTAGAAGATTAACAGATGAAGAAATATTTAAAGCTTGTGGAGGTAGAACAGCACATAAAGGAGCTAGACATGGATTAAAACAAAGTGGAAAATTGTCAAGGATTGCAGAGCAAGAAAAAGAGTTGCTAGCAAGAATGAATGTAACTAGAAAAAATGTAGAAGAAAAGGCACAACAGCAATGTCTCTCTGATAAATTGATAGTTAAAAGAAAAAGAGGTGGAGATAAAACAGAGAGAGAGATGATTCTTGAAGATAATTCATCAGAAATTGACTACAATGCAAATACCATACAGCCCGAGATACTCTCTCTCTCGCAAAAACCTACCAAAGTCCCAAAATATATAAAAAAAAAAAGAGTTACCCAAATAACTGATTTGACGCTGCAAATGAATGCAGTATGCAAAATAATAGAAGCCAGTGCAGAACCTTTGCCCAGTTGTTCTTATAATATGGACAATATTAATAAAGTCCAAGAGAAGTCATTGAGGTTGAAGGAAAAAAAAAGCAAGAGCAAGAATAGAGGTGATACTCAAAGTAATGATAATAATAGCGTCGTCGACAGGACCAGTAGTGAACCACGAGGGTCTCAAAGTGGACTTTCCATTGATTTAACGCCAAACAAATGTTCGCTTGAAACGGAGACTGTAAAAAGACGAGGAGAGCCCGAGAGTGAACGCAAAAACGAGGAATACGAACCACAGGCCAGTTGTTCGTATATCGCAGATGCTGAAAAAAAATGTAATTCAAAACGGAAATGTAGCCCGGAGAAGAAAGATTTCGTCATGTTCGATTCAGATTGTCCAGTGCCTTCTTCCACAGAGTCGAAAGCAAATAAACAGCACGCAGCTTCGGCTGGGAAGCGGAAAAAAGCAAAAGCAAAGTCTACAAACAATGTACAAATTTTGACGGATGAACTGGACAATGGGTTGTCGCTGGACACAAGCAACTGTAGAGCGAAAAAGAGATACAAGAGGGACTATCGTTCTGACATTCCATTTCATCTTCTAGAGGGATACACGCGGACACTTCGTGACGCCCAGAACGGCGTCCCGTACACAGAATCATTCATTGCACTTCATGAAGCTTCACGATTAAATTCGAAAATATTGAAAAGAAAGAAATACAAAGAACTCAGGAGGCAAAGGAAACATTTGGAACGCCTGTCGGAAAATCTAATGGCCGTCAATTTAAAGGGTAATGGCGAACCTGAATGCAATTCTGAATCTCAGACTACGTCTGAATCCTGGAATGTGGTAAGGTCACGTAAAAGTAAGAGAACGAAACTGGACATGTTATTGCGAGATCTAAGGGCGGTCAATCTGAAATAAATATGTTCAGTCGTATACATATTCATTTGACTGTCTCTTATCCTTTCTTATTTTGTCATTTACTTTATTGAAATTACATAGAAAAAAGGAGATATGTTCCTTTATATGAGAATGCTGGACGTTAATACAGAAATATGCTAGCGTACTTACTTATGTGTTCATTTCTTTTCTATTTTCCTCAATGAAACTTAGCGAAGCACGCGCGCTCAATCACACTCGTGCTGTGCTTAATGCTATTCGCTTCGTTTCTTCTTCATTAAGATGCGCAACGTCGATAATAAATGGTTCCACTCATTTTCAGGTATAGCACCGAATCCCATAGCTAATGGGCTATAATGTATGTAAAATTCGTAAAGTCGAATTTTTTAATAGAATGTACACTTATTAGATACGATAAATTAATTCTAAGGCCACTAGGGTTCCGCATTAGAGATTCATCTGTATAGTTTGGCAGCGTTCCCGAACTATTTGATGCACCACCTTTCTGCATCAAGTAGAAAAAAAGAACGCGGTCCTAAATATAAAAGGGAAGATGAAATTAACAAAGATTGAACTTACAGCGAAGAGAAATTTGTTCCTATCTAATAATATTTAGTAGTCGTAACAATCTCGAGCCATTAAGATCGGAAAATACTACTGCACTGTTTATCGGTACAGTATACATATTCACATTTGCCTTAAAAAATCTGAAGAGATTCCGTAACCTAAGAAATTTTCGGTGACACTAATTCTGCGTACGATGATTAAAAATTTAAAAATCTTTTTGCTCATAAAGATTAGTATTTCAACTCGAAGTTGCGTTACCCTCTATCGTCAATTTGATATAAATCTCTCAGATTCTTATAAAAATACAATGAAGATCTAATACACAGTATAAACATGTGATGTTCCAGGTCCAATGGACCATGTTAACAAAGTATCGAAATTTCATTGCAAATGTCTTACAGCTGCTTCTCCTTTTCCCTAAACTGTATCAATATCTACAGTCCTCACAGAGAAATTATTATTCGTTTAACGAAGAAAGTACATTTGAAAATCTATTCAATCGTTAACAGATATGTTAGGTTGTTATTTTGCGAATATATTAGGAGACAAGACTGAGAAAGATGAAAAAGGAAGAAAAATCACATATTGTTGCAATATGACATTGGCTAGGCTGCCATCAGAGTCGAGTGGAAGTTGAAATACATGGTACGCATACCTACAGTTTATTAATTTGCAGATATGCGATACACGTATTTCAAGCTCTCGACTTAACAATGGTGGAGACTTATCTATTATTTCATGAATAACGAATCCATGACATCCCTGAAGTAATAACTGCAAACACTGCACTCTAGTAAGCTGAGACCGTCGTTCATTTCTTTGAAATTGACGCATTATGGAGAATTCCTAATTGACGATGATTTCTTATACACTAAAATTTTCGAAATATTAAAAAATATAATTCGAAATCTTCTTTAGGCAACTCACTACAAACTTCTGCACAAGCATTGTCCCGTAACGAGATTCACTGGAATTTCATATTATCAATAGACATAAGCGTATGCCTTTAGCTATACATTAGATACCCCAAACGGAGATTCTAAATGAGAAAGCACAACAAGTTATCTCATAAGAATCGTAATGAAACAATCTTTTGTTGCGTATTACTTTATCGGATAGTTCGATGATCTTATTAAATGCATCGGTTCATATTTCGTCTTCTCACCACGTAATATCCAACGTTTCTTCCAGTTCTACTGAGAGTAGACAATTTTTTATCTTGGTTAGGATTACTGACGCAAGTCAGATTTGCGTCATTCAATTTTTTCCAAATGGTGTACATCTTAGAAGAACTGACTTTGTGTGCCGTAATGGCGCTTTTAAATACACACGCATCCATCTTTCTAGGAACGTAACTAAAACCAGGATGGTTTACAGGCCTTAATTTTGCTTTTTGAGCACAAACACCAGTCACGTAAACATCCTCTAGATGCAGCAGGGGAGTGGAAAGAGCTGCCTGGTAAAGTTTCCCCGCTACGTCCAAACTCATCACGTATCCGGTACCTGATAGATAATTCGGGTATGTTCTTTCGGCGTACATATATTTTGGTGTATACCTGCGGTAAAAACATATCATTTGCATTGCAAAGTGCATATCATATCATATCATTCATAAGTGCATATTTTTATGACATTTATTGTACCATTTATTTTTGGGATCCTGTATAGGCTTGGCATTGCATATCAGCGATCCCAAAAGAGTACCAGTACTTTGAACTCTGGCACGTAGAGTCTTCAACAATGTAGGAACATTGACAAACATGTCGTCATCGGTTTTCATGAGATATTTGGCGTTTTCGCAATTTGAGTTGACCCATTTAAGCATCATTACAGACTTCAATGTTAGATTATTGTACGTGTCTTGAAATTTCTCTTGAATTATGTCGCCGTATTGCTGGCTCTCCTCTTCTATTGAACTCTGAAAGAACCATAGCTTGTACTTGTATTGTAAACGCCGCCCCAAAAAACCGTTCATCTTATCCTAATAATCATTGAACCTACATTCAGTGTATCATTGTCACTCTCTCCCAACAAGAAGGCAATTCTTACAGTGGAATTATAAAGAGAATCCAAATGCTGCTTATTCGCCCAAGTGTTTCTTATGGATTCCCTGGCTTTTTGATTTGCAACTGCCGAACATATGACTATTAACAAATAGGGCGGAGATGCACATATACTTGTAGGACTTAGAACCGTTGTGTTATTTCCAGGGCGGATGTAGACGCGTAAATCACGCGATTTATTGTACGCCCATCCAGGTAGTTGAGCTAAAAGTTTAGAAAAAAAAAAAATGAATTTCGTAAAGATTTTTCAAGTATCTTGGACGCAGTATCTTCGAGTTGCTATCAACTCACACATTGTCATAGAATTCTCAGCAAGCTAACTACTAAGTTTATTATGCCAATTCGCTATAGATATTATAAAGCATGCCTGTTCTCGCATGATCTCATAAAATCACGTATCGTATATAGCGTTATGGAATAATGAAATGGCAAAATGAAAGGTGCATTTGCGCAGGCTAGCACTTAAAAAATCCAGCGATTACAATGTTTGACTTTCTACTATTTATCAAGCAAATGCAAAATAATCAAGCGGCAAGTTTCATGTGCGAATATAAAGACAAAGTGTCCAAATTGGAATTAGAGAAATTTTTCTTAGAATGTTGTGCAAAGTAACGTTTTGTTCAAAAAGCTTCATTACTGGTAGTAAAAATAATATATTCATTTTCATTTGGGAATACTTACAAAAGGCTTTTGTGTGTACAATATATTTGACAAAGAAAATACCTAGCGATGACAACAAGGCAATAACTTATATTAAGTGATGTAAGCTAAAGAGGAGCAGTGTTAGTAGATTCCTACCTATGGAGGCTACATGGTGCGAGGCGTCCAAGTGCCCTGAGAGGCCTGGTAAAGGTGTCTCACCTAATCCTAGGAGTGGACCCTGTGCCGAATGATATGCTGGCACATATAGCAGACCCAGTGCAGCAAGAACTACAAACCCTAATGTGAGCCGCCTTAAAAAAGATACTTTGCCTTTGACTTTAATGAATCCACTGCCGCTAATAGTACTAGCAGGTGGTAATTCTATGGGTAATAGGCGTATCCTGTCCATCTAAAAAAAAATTTTTAAAGTACAATAAAAAGGGTACACACGTAATCTTCAACCAAATTTGCCAAGAGAGTAACAACAAAATCTTAAATCCAGTTACAAGACAATACTACTGTTTGATAAGGCATAGAAATTGGTTTGACTATTATTATGGTCCATGTTATCACACTGTGGATAACTAGACGAATTTATGGCAATAGTAAACATTAATTGATCCCACAGTCTTATCAAATATAGGTGGTGATTAATACCTCAGTTTTCTTTTAATTTGAGTACATTCCTGGATCATGAGATTTATTATGATGGGCTTATCCATAAATTGATATAGATAAGAGGATGTTGGTTAAACACAATTGACTTTTGGGTGAAAATGGAACAAATTAACGAGAATTTTCCAAATTTTTGAAAGCTTCAAATTAGTAAACTTTATTAATTTTACCTTGGAGACTTGTGAATTGAGAATTACACTGCATTTGAGTTCTTTCCATTTACGTATATTGATGTTCGACAGGTAAGACACTCCATTGGTACTTAGCACAGCCCTTTGTTTGGTCAAGGGAATGTAAATGGAACGACGAAGAAAGACCGAAGTACTGGGTGATGTCGATGTCGTACTGACAGTCAACGTGGACAACTAAATCCAAACTTCTGAAACACGGAAAATACTGTGACAACTGTCAGTTGTGTTTAAGCAAATTTCTGATTAGCCAGTTCTAGCAATCTTCCCGTTTACCTAGCTTTTTTCGATAATTTCTGTAGCTTTTCACGAAAACAATTTGTTTTTCAAAGGCTTCTTAATCTCACATTATTTTATAAGCGATTTGTTAAATTTGACAAGACACTTTACATTGCGCAAAAGAGACTGCGGCAAACTACGAATAATGAGTGGTAATAAGAGAGAATATTGCACATTTGTATTTTCCGTAAATCCAAAGCAGAAAAACTAATCTTCTTCTTCTTCTTACTCCTTGTGGCTTTATGCCCTCGTAGAGGGCCAAGTGCCAGAGAACAACTAATCGAAATAAAATAAAGAACGTATCGCGTATGCATATGTGTACTGTTGTTCGTAAAGTAGAGATATGTTAACACAGTAGGCTCTAAGCCACTACGCTCTTCAACGTTGTTGCACAATGTATCCGATATGATTAATATGATCCTGCATGAGTCTTGATGTACTAATTATGCCATATATCTTGCATTTTGTGAACTATGGTGGCACAATAGATGATCTATATTAGTTAAGTAAAGTGTCTTATCCGCGGAATTTCCAGCGCGGTCAATGCGTCCACATGACCACAAGAGGCGTTGCGATCAAGTGATCCGTAGAGTTCCTCTAGTAAGAGTCCGGCCAACACCAGGAAGGGACGCCATATTAAGGGCTTGTTTGGCGCCACCATGACATTGCGCGAGACTTGGTCGAGTCTCGCGCCAAGTACAGGCAACCCGCCGTATAGGGCTTAACCGTACCCACACTACAGAATGCGAATCTCTCCCATATACGTATTCACACACACCATTCTGTTCCGGAAAGAGTCCATAATATGGCAGAGCCAATCACTAACAAGCCCCACCGTTGGCCGGACTCTTACCGTTGAGTGTAGATAGGTACCTATCTACACTCAACGCTCTTACTAGAGGGACTCTAGTGATCCGTACCTATTTCTCTCTCCCACAGCCGATTATAGAGTGAGATAGATAAGAACGTGTAACCTGACCGGCAGAGGTTCTCCGCAACTTATCGCTGGTTCCCAGAGCAACCCTTAGAACGAGGCTGCTCATAAGATATTGCCTAAATAATTTTTTTTTATAATCTTAAATTCGAGTGCACAGTGTAAGCTCGATAAGATTTACTAAGACAAAAGCCAGCACCTCATGCCGGTGCTAGCTTCCAGTATTATTTAATAATAGTCCCAACAGGAACTATAGAACTCCTCGAGAACTATTAAAAAAGCCTATTGCTGAATCATTTTCTAAATATTGAGCTGCTACACGGGTATGAAGTTGGTACCGTCATTTCTTAAAAATGTGTCAACAATAGGCTTTTTCAATAATTCTCGAGGAATTCTATACTTCCTGGTAGGTATTAACAATAGTTCGGCTACGCAACATCAGTAAGATATCTATTAAATATACTGGTGACACCATACGTTTCAATGCAGGCAGGCATGATTTGCTAGCTTTTGTCATATTCCTTCCTTCCTTTCCTTATGGCTGCCTTCTCCAATGAGGAGATGTGCCAGTTTTGTCATATTAAACTTACCGGGCTTACACTGTGCCCTCGAATTTAGGATTGTAAAGAAAAAAATATTTAGGCTATATCCGAAGAGTTGCCTCGTTCTAACAAATGTTGCTTTGGGAACCAGCAATAAGTAACTGAGGACCTCTGCTCATCAAGCTACACGTTCGTGATTGCAGGCAGCTCGGCTACGACGGGTTCCGCACTATCAACGGAGGCGATGATCACGAAACTCTACTTCCGGACTCGCCGCTGTGATTCAGCGCCATGTTTTTGGTATCGCTTAAAACCGTAGCGTTCTGCATACAGAGATGAGTAGGGAGATTGCCAATGAGCCTGTTTTTGGTGAAGCCAATTTTTCTCTGGTTTCGGCGCGCCACCTTAGCGGAGGGCCCTCGAAGCAGTTCCACGTTTTTGATTGGTCGTGTATATATAGTAATACTACGCGTGATAATCTGGAGCTGTGTTTTGGCGCGTCGACGCGCCAAAACACAGCTCCAGATTATCACGCGTAGTATTACTATATATACACGACCAATCAAAAACGTGGAACTAGTTCGAGAGTCTCGTTCAGGTGGCGCGTCGACGCGCCAAAACACAGCTCCAGATTATCACGCGTAGTATTACTATATATACACGACCAATCAAAAACGTGGAACTAGTTCGAGAGTCTCGTTCAGGTGGCGCGTCGACGCGCCAAAACACAGCTCCAGATTATCACGCGTAGTATTACTATATATACACGACCAATCAAAAACGTGGAACTAGTTCGAGAGTCTCGTTCAGGTGGCGCGTCGACGCGCCAAAACACAGCTCCAGATTATCACGCGTAGTATTACTATATATACACGACCAATCAAAAACGTGGAACTAGTTCGAGAGTCTCGTTCAGGTGGCGCGTCGACGCGCCAAAACACAGCTCCAGATTATCACGCGTAGTATTACTATATATACACGACCAATCAAAAACGTGGAACTAGTTCGAGAGTCTCGTTCAGGTGGCGCGTCGACGCGCCAAAACACAGCTCCAGATTATCACGCGTAGTATTACTATATATACACGACCAATCAAAAACGTGGAACTAGTTCGAGAGTCTCGTTCAGGTGGCGCGTCGACGCGCCAAAACACAGCTCCAGATTATCACGCGTAGTATTACTATATATACACGACCAATCAAAAACGTGGAACTAGTTCGAGAGTCTCGTTCAGGTGGCGCGTCGACGCGCCAAAACACAGCTCCAGATTATCACGCGTAGTATTACTATATATACACGACCAATCAAAAACGTGGAACTAGTTCGAGAGTCTCGTTCAGGTGGCGCGTCGACGCGCCAAAACACAGCTCCAGATTATCACGCGTAGTATTACTATATATACACGACCAATCAAAAACGTGGAACTAGTTCGAGAGTCTCGTTCAGGTGGCGCGTCGACGCGCCAAAACACAGCTCCAGATTATCACGCGTAGTATTACTATATATACACGACCAATCAAAAACGTGGAACTAGTTCGAGAGTCTCGTTCAGGTGGCGCGTCGACGCGCCAAAACACAGCTCCAGATTATCACGCGTAGTATTACTATATATACACGACCAATCAAAAACGTGGAACTAGTTCGAGAGTCTCGTTCAGGTGGCGCGTCGACGCGCCAAAACACAGCTCCAGATTATCACGCGTAGTATTACTATATATACACGACCAATCAAAAACGTGGAACTGCTTCGAGGGCCCTCCGCTAAGGTGGCGCGCCGAAACCAGAGAAAAATTGGCTTCACCAAAAACAGGCTCATTGGCAATCTCCCTACTCATCTCTGCTGCATATCCCTACTCATCTCTGTTGTGCATCTCCCTACTCATCTCTGATACTTAGATGGCGGTACCAGGCGGTACTGAAAAATCGAAGAATGCCAACATGGCGTGCTGAAAAAATTTTTATCTCCATTAATTATGGTTAAAAGGAAATATCGCGAATTCTAAAATATTTGCTGCCTGAATTAAACCTTTCAGAAGGAAACAACATAATAATTTAATTGGGTTTAAAAAGGGGGTAAAGTCTTACTAACGGACATCATAGCATAGTGCATATGCACATATAATTTGACGTCTGGGGGTGCATAACATAAGGACTTTTCATATTATCATTTATGTTTATTATTGGGGGCGGTTAACGTACGTTACGTTTGATTTATTGAGGTGTTTTAATGTTCTAATATAATGGATCCTCGAATACATAGGAGATCTGAGCCAGAAAAAGGCCCGGGCGATTTGGTTAGTGTTGTAACCTAAAACTTAGAACTATGATTTTTTAATTACTATGTAAATTCATTATTGGTTCGATAAGTTCTAGGAAAATTTGATATTCTTGGATACTTAAAAATATTTCCTCAAAATCTTTTGTAATCTTCTGATTCTACGTTATCACTTAGTTTTGACTCCTTTATGCTCATTCGATTGTATTTTGTTTTACTTACTAAAGCATCAGTAAATTCATATTAAAATAAACTTGACATTACTGAGATTTACTAATTCAACATTTGATAACAACTAACCTTAAGGAGAAATTTCTATTTCAGGTTGTAGAATGGTTAAACGAGGCCTCGTTGGGTTCTAACGATACAGTAAAGGTATCAAACCTTTTGAAAGTCCAGGAAATTCTTATACACAAAGAACCACAGTTGTTGAATTTATATCTAGATGAGGCTTTACAATTTTCCTTGGATAGAAATTCTGAGGTTAGAAAGACTGTTGCTGGATTTATTGAAGAAGCTGGGTATACTTGAACACTGCATTTTACTTTCTATGTCATGCATTGCAGAACTAATTAACAGTGTAATAAATTTGCAATTCATAGAGCAAAGCAGCCTGAAGTAATTCCTAGAATGGTCCAAACTCTTTCAAGACTCGTATCAGACGATGCTCCACTTGTAGCGAAAAGAGCTTTAAGAGCCAGTGGTAGGATTCTCAGGTCTACGCTTAAATGGGTAGCAAGTGCCACTTTAGTTACACCGGAAATGGAAACTGCTTGGACACAGTTAAGCTCCTTGAAGGTCCAAATAATCAATATGATAGACAGCGACAATGATGGGTACAGCAAAAAAAGATCATTTTTATCTATTAAAATAAAAGCTAAGTATTTGAATTAACAAGAAACAGACACTAAAGTAAAAAATTTTCATTTCAGTATTAGGACGCAGGCTGTAAAATTCCTTGAAGGTGTTGTGTTGATCCAAACCTATCCTGATCCGGATGCACCAAGAAAACTAGAAGATTTCTCTCTTGAGGACGTACCTCTGACATTGAAAATCGCTCGCAGGAGAAAACTCGAGGAAGAGGCTAATCACGTTATGGACTTATTAATAAAGTTTCACGGTTCGCCACATGTCAGTAGCGTTAATCTCATGACCTGTATGGGATCTCTCGCACTGATCGCCAAAACTAGGCCACAGTTTATGCCGGTCGTTATTCAAGGTACAATTTCCAAACTAAATAAGACAAAATATAATATTAGAAACAACGCTTGATGTTTACGAATTTCATACTTTAGCTCTGCAAAGATTGCAGCATGATTTCCCGCCTACTCTGTCGGATTCTCAAGTAACGAGCGTTCAAAAACAATTAAAACTCACATTGTTGGGGCTGCTTAAGCATCCAGCTAGTATAGAATTTGCATCATCAATGGCAAGACAATTATCGCAGCTCGGCGCTAAGGAACAGGAAATAATCAAAGCGTATCCAAAGCCAGAGGATATAAGGCGTATGAAGAAAAGACAACAGGTTCCATATAATTGAAAAATGTTCTATAATATTTATAAAATATTTAGGTAATGGTATATAAAGAATTTTATTGCATTCAAGGAATCAGTTGCTGCAGCTTCAGCGGCTAAGCGTGCTAAACTAGAAGTACCAATAGCAGTAGCGTCAGAAGAACCGGAAGGGGTAGCTGCGCCAGTGCAACCAGCGAAGCAACCGGAAGTAACAGAACTTTCAGAAAGTTTTATCGCAGAGCGACTTAGCGTAGAGATTGCGACTGACTTAGTTATGGGAAGCATGGTAAGTTCTTATTATATCAAATTATATAAAAGATTTATTTATGTGAAACAATGTTTATGAACTGTAGGCTCGAGTACCGGATATCATGACCACCGTTTTTCAACGCGAATATCAGCCAAGCTCCAGTGCTGATACAAGCGTGCAGCGACAGACTATAGCAAAGTTACTAGCAGCTCAGATTAAGCAGAGTAAGACAAAAAAGATGAAAAAGGAAACTAAGGAAGAGGATGCCGTTATGGAGGACCTGGTGAAGAACCCATCGATAACTGTAGCGGAAGCTAAGAGGGAACGGAAGCGCGAGAAGGACAGGGAGAAAGAGAAGGAAGCCAAAGCTTCTATAGAGGCTCATGAGAAGTCACTAGTGAAGGCCAGAAACCGTTTGAAGGCATTAAAATTATCGGAAGTGACAAAACCATTGTCCAAGGAAATAAGGGAAAAAATGCTTCTTATGGCCGTCAATAGAATCCTACAGGCTGAAAAGATCGCCGTTCACGGAGGGGTCGCTCCTGTTAGGTAGGCCCATCCAATACTTTCTCTATTGATTCACTTCACTCCACTTTATCTTACATATATTTGGTTCTCATTTCGTAAAGGTCCAAAATTCTCACCACCCTGGCAGCCACTTTCAATCCCTACATTAAGGAAGCTGTACTGAGATACATTACGGATGATATGAGAACTCGGCTTGAACTTGCCCTGGGCTGGTTGTACGAGGAGTATGCTCTTCTGCAAGGATTCCAGAGGAGAACCACCTTATGCACAAAACCTCATGAAGCTCCCCATCAGGCTTATAATTTCTTGCTCTGTACCCTGGTCTCTGCTATTGATCTAATACAGGGAAAAGATCGTGATACACTGCTTTCTAGGTACAGTAGACTGCCAATAAAACTTTATTCTCGTAAGGATATTTGATATTCCCTATATTTCTTTGCAGATTGTATCTGGAGGCTCCTTTGATCACAGAGGATGCCGTAGAAGCATTGAAGATGGTGTCCTCTGATGAGACCAGAGGTTTGGCGCCTCTTCAATTATTAAAAGAAATGGTGATCAGGAGGCCCACTAAGCAACTAGTTTTTCTTAATGTACTTCTCTGTCATACTGGACATGAGAATTGCACGGTAATAATAACTTGATAATTAATTAGGTCCTAATTATCCTTACGGTAATAATAATTTTTTTCATTTGCAGATAAGAGAAGCGGCTATCCAATCAGTAGTAGAACTATATAACAGACCAGAGCTCAATAAACTCATAGAGGAATATGCTGTGCTTTATTTGGGATTCCTGAGACTTCAGAGCCCACCTGAAATTGTATTTGGACAGGATCGTGGCAGACCTCAGCCTGAGGATCTGTGGTCAGAATCCACCACGAGAACCTGTCTAGGTCTCTACTTGGCACTCTTAACAGAACACCAGGATCTTATTCACGAGTTGGCCAGAGTGTATACTTCAATGGGTGCCGACGTTAAGAGGATGGTTTTAAGACTTGTCGAAGGTCCGGTTCGCTCTCTGGGTATGGGCAGTCCGCAACTGCTAGCGCTAGTTGAGAATTGTCCAAAAGGAGCAGAAACCCTGGTTACCAGGATCATACACATCCTCACCGAGAAATGTAAGGATTATATATTATGTTTCATGATGTTATTAACATTTCGAAAATTCTTAGCATAACTGTTTCTTTTTTTAGCTGCTCCTAGTGCTGAACTCGTCGCTAGAGTACGAGAACTTTATCAGACCCGAGTGTCAGACGTGAGATTTCTTATTCCTGTACTGAATGGTTTAACGAAGAAGGAAGTAATAGCTGCTTTACCAAAATTGATAAAGCTCAATCCGATAGTTGTAAAAGAGGTTTGTTTCTCAGAAATACTATAGAATGTCAGGATATACACTGTTGTTGGTAATAAATATTTTCCGCTTAGGTATTCAATAGACTTTTGGGTACGCATAACAATGACAGCGGAGTGCCACACACATCTCCAATTACACCAGCAGAACTTCTTATTGCATTGCACACTATCGATCCTAATAAGGCTGAACTGAAGACAGTCATAAAAGGTTAGGATATTATTGCAGTAATATTTCTTAGATATTTCATAAAGAAATTTTTACAGCCACTTCTCTTTGCTTTGCTGAAAAACAAGCCTATACTCAAGAAATTGTTGCTGTTGTAATGCAACATCTCATGGAGCTAACTCCTCTACCAACATTATTAATGCGGACTGTTATTCAAAGTCTAGCATTGTATCCAAGATTGAGTGGCTTTGTAATGAACATCCTCCAGCGTCTAATACTAAAACAAGTGTGGAAGCAGCCGAAAGTTTGGGAAGGTTTTGTCAAGTGCTGTGAACGTACGCAGCCTCAAAGTTTTGCAGTGATATTACAACTGCCACCAACTCAATTATCAGAAGCATTAAAAATGGCACCTGGTCTCAAAGCACCTTTGTTGGCTCACGTCGAGTCTTTTGCTGAGAATCAGGTTGGTAGTAATTATGTGTATATCATTTATTAATTAGACATCTTGAATCAACGCCAGGTTCTTACCTCTTACTTTATAGAAGGCCCACATTCCACAGTCCATAATGGACGTGATACAAGGAAAGTCGTTAATGGAAGCTCACGACGAATTCGATATTGTGAGTTTATCACAGTTTATAATTTTTGAGAGTATTATATTTTTAAAAAAATATTTTTTTAGGCACCACCTGGAGATTATCCACTTGAGCAGCAGGCAGATTGTATGGAAATTGATTTATCGGAACCAGCACCTCCTGGTTTGGACTAACATAAACTTATCCCAGTGTTGGGATTTCAAAAAAGTAAATCAACCAATTGATATCAATGAATTTGCACCGTGATGAGTAATATGCATTATATTATATGTGGAAAGACGAATTAAAGTATAAAATGACTACTTAATGTACAGTAGGTAAAGACATTGCCCGATAGAGGATTTTCCTGGGGGTTTAATACCATTTTGGAAACAGGCTCGATTCACATTATATTCATATAAATCTGTATTATCGCAGTCTCATATCTGAACACAGGATGGACGTAAAAAATAAATAGAATTTCTTCAGCTGACCTGAATACAGGAATCAACATTAAGGTTCTATTTGTCATCCAAAATCTACACCTGTGTCCAATAGGTCTCGTAACATGAACGAGGCTTTCTTTGGAAGGATTCTAGAATAATAATTTCTAATTAGTTCTCATGTCTCTTAGAGTATGGATAAATATACATAACATACCTAAGTACGTGGCCAAGATACAGAAGATATCCTGGGACACTGAACTCGGCGTAGTTTCTGCGAACGCCGTCCAGGATTCTTTTAGCGGCTTCAGCGGCAGGCATTGTTCCAAAGTAACTGGGTATCCTGGAAATACAGTGTTCTTATGTACCATGTATTTTAAAAGGATGAATGACTGCTTTTACCTAAGGCGTATATCCTTTGCTACCTCAGCACCCACTATAAATGGATAGACGTGAACTAGAGTAATTATAATATTGGTGTTGGTGTGTCTTAATTCCGTGTGTAAGGACTCAGCTAATCCTTGGACAGCAAATTGTGCGGTTGACAACGGTATTTGACGACCACGACTTGCACCACCTGACAAACCAGCTACGGAAGAGAGGACAACAATGTGACCACAACCAAGTTCTTGCATTCGTGGTAGAAGAGATTCTAAAAGCTAAAATAAAAAATATAATTAAGCAATTTCTTGCAGGGATGTCTGAAAATGAATTACATACCCAGAAGTGGCTAAAAACAGTAACATCCATAGTTTCTTTAATTTCTGGAGGATCTCGAATGAGTGCACGTGGACTTGGTACTCCACAACAATGTAATAAAATTGTTACATCACCTAACTCCGAATTGATTGCATGCACAGTATGAGAAACCTGCTCTTTATCTGTTACATCACATATAAAGGCTCGTGCTTTTCCAAATTGCAATGCACGTTCTACGGTTGCTTGGCAATTTTCCACATTGACATCAATGCAAGCTACATTTACACCTAGTTGAGCTAATTGTATCGCTATTTCTCTACCCACACCTCGACCAGCACCAATTACCTAATTTAAAAGAATTATTTCATTTTGTTATGCATTGCAACAATTATTCACAGTTCATATTACCATTGCCACTTCTCCAGTAAGATTCTTTAAAGGTGGTGGTCTAAAAGTCCTAAATAGTGCTACTATAACTGAGAACCAAATTCCTATGAATAAGGTAATAAGGTCCAGGGCCAAAACGACCAATGAGTAAACTCGTAATAACATTGCCGGCGGTTTGAAGTATTCGAAAGTCGGCTGAAAATATAAAATAAATAAATATATAATGAAAAAAAAGGAACACTTTCACTTATTTCCAGAAAAGTCGCAAATATAACGATTTGCATCGTTAATTCTCATGACTACACAGATCTAGTACAAAGTGCAAAATTATAATTCGTTATCAATTATTACGCTTACCATAGTAGTTAGAAATCACAATTAATAAAAAGCAATGGTTTTCAGTTTAAATGAATATACACACTTTGTAATACTAAATGATAACGTGATTGAGCCAATCTCCCTACGCTCTTGTCGAGAAGTAAATGACAAACTGTTTATTCGTAAATGAAATGCTGTACCTTTTATCGTGGCGTGAGCTTTCTGATAAGAGTATCGAAGGTTCATAACACTGAACGATCTTGTTCAAATAGAAAGAGCCATTTCTGAAGATCGCAAATACACGCACTTCTGATGCCGTTTTTATCCAACGATTGTGAAAAAATCATTCTTCGTCTTGAATATTCTTGTGATACAAGAAGATGGCGTGATCATCATTGTTAGATATACAGTGATACCATTCGATATGTTTACCATGGGAAACTGATTCTGTTTGACTACTTGTTAGTGTCTTCCTTCATAACATAGAGGCGGTACAGGCGGACATTACATGTTCTTATACTATACTGCATAACCCAATTTTTTGTCATATAAATTAATTCTACCCTTTTCACAAGTTAAAATACATCCAAAATGTGGTATGAAATTCTGCCATCCTGCGCCATAATTACTACAACATTCTTTTTACCACATTTATTTGCGTATCATCTGGTGAAAGGTGTCACTGGCCAAGTAAGTTCAATTTATATAACCTACAAATCTGTTTTACGTAAAATCTGTTTTATTAATTTTCTGTAATTCTGCGATATAATATAATTTCATAATTTATTACTTATTTTAGTTTATTAACTTGTAAATATATGCTTGAGACGTTTGTTCTTTTTTTCAATTTGTTATCCTTTGATACTTTTAATAGACATGTAAATTCTAAGAATATTTGAGTATCCTCACTTTGAAATGCTTACGCCTGGTATTCCTTCTTTTGTTACAGGTATATCTGAAGAAACAGACAGTTCCAATTTTGCAATTATTTTACATCAGAGATAACAGGGTTAATAATGGAGCGTGGATTTCTCCTGTAATAGAAATTTGTTAATTTTGATTCTAAATTAACATACCAAAATCTAATATTATTTTTCTTCTTTCAGAAACTAGAGGATGTCCTTCCAGATGAACCTGAAAAGTAATTCATAAGTAACAGAGAAATGTAGTAACAGTATATTTAATTTGAAAAAGAGAACAGTCTTTTTCCAAGATTCTCTATGTCCCATAAACCTGCAATGATCATTATAAAACAATTAATTGAAACAAAATAAAGATTCGTTTATCCTACATAAATCTTTACTTTATTATTACTCTATAATTTCCAATATTGGTGCAGAGTAAATTATGCTCCGATATTTTATTATTTCAAATGTATTTTATTTCTAGCTATAATTTTTATTGCAATGCGATATACGACAAACCTTATTATACTAAGCAGATTATTCCTGGTAACAGACTCTTGGCTGTAATACCATCTTTATACCACGGATCCTAACAGCACCTAGCTAAGCATTTTACTAGCGTAACCTTATATCCCACGTCTTCGCGCGAAAGAAATCTGCAACCCAATTCATAATAAGTACAAAGCATTCAACGTTAATTAGCATTATTCTAATTACACACAGCAGGATTTCGAATAGCTGAGACTTATATCTTTCATAAGCCTCATTATCAGTATACACAAATAAACGTAAAATAAGTCATTCAGTGACTAAAAGAATTACATCAAAGGAAAAATTAAACATTTCTCCTTAAGTCATTTCTCTGATAAGTAAATGCAACAGAAGGTCATAGTTCGTCCAATGATAAACTCTGTCAGGGCATCTACTGGTGGAACATTTAGAAAAATATAGCCATAACCGATAACATATAGAGCTGACACATACGATATATTCTTACTATTTTCAAAGGGCTGAATACGGAACCATAAGGTTATTATAAAAGTTATAATATTTCATTAAAATCAATACGATTCTCTGTCTCTCTTTCCTACACTCCGCGAATGTCATCCAACCACGATTAAAAAACCTAGATAAAAGATTACAATAGTAATCTACTCCTCTATTACAAATTTCAATGAGAACAGAGGAAATTCCATAGAGCAGTATCTACCTAATTCTCCATTATCATAACAGTTCTATAACATAAAAGATAATTTATCTGGTACTCCTTCGATAATTTCCCTATGATCTACTTGATAATACGGAAATACATATATCTCTAACCACATAAATTATTACAGCAAGATAAGAAAACAACGAATTACGACATTGACACAGTCATTATCCTACAGACTATGTGCGTCATATTGTCATCCATTTCAAAATTTGTCAGGCGTAACGACTGACGTGCGGTTCACATTTCTTCCTTTGTCTTCCACCTTTATCCCGGAGCGGAGAATCGGAGATAGAACTGTTTGCACTAGTGACATATTTTTCGGCCGATGATTAAGGCCGACTTTTACCGTGCGAAACCAACGAAAAATATCCGTCAGAAAAATAATCACCGATCCGTAACGACGTTTTCCTTCCTTGTTTTCTCTCTTTATATTTTTGTCTGTTTCATTGACTCTTCTGTACAACAGAGAGACTCATGAAACCGTGCATATATCACAGAAGGAAACCTAAAATAAGCTTATTCACGTGACGATATAGTACGAAGTTTACTTAACTACAGGTACATACATGTATGATATATTCTTATAGTTACAATACAATATACTAAGTACTGTAGAAGCGTAGCACAAACCTATATAATATAACACTGCACTATACATTGTTGTACCTGGACAAACCGTATATCCAGGAAACTGGGCATGCGCGTCACTAATAAATTTGCAGCTATCAACAGTCTAGCATTTTGCCACAGTAAATATTTAATAATTCCAATGCAGTTGGTAAGACTCTATTACATAATAATATAGTAGACGACACCATTTTTTCTTTCTTTTGTATACATCAAGCTTACCGTACAGTTAAACGTGTATACTAAAGTCACGAATACTTTGTATTACGCCGTACTGGTTTGTCCGACGTGGTTATATGAAATAGAAGCATATGCATCATCCTTTCTAGGACATTTCGATGTTCCTGTAGCAACTATAAGGAATCCAGGAATTAGCAGACCCGCTGAAAGGCTCCCGGTCGAGCAGCCACTAGAACCTATGTTGGCTACGGCAGTGGAGTGAAACTTGCCGCTACTTGGCAAACGGCTACGTACCAGTTCGCTGCTGAGCGTTACCAGAGTAACACCGTCTCTTCTTTTTCTCTTACGAAATTCTTATCGCATCAAATGATTTTATTATCGTGTTACGGGATGAACGTTTAGCTGGTGAAATCACAATAGCTGCTTTAACCTTTGTATTAATGAAGTTCTATGAATTAATATATATCAATGATACGTCAGCTATAAGTTATTAAATTAACGTTTAAGTTTAATTGTCAAGACTTGAGTAACCGGTGCTGTATTGATAAGGTGTGACATTATCTTCAGATCTAAGTAAAGTCGTCAATTGTACTAAAAGCATGATCGTGGACATGAAAGTTTGTGTAATGGCTTTCCAATAATAATAATTTAGTCGATTATATATATATTTGAAAGAGCATTCACAATTTAAGCTAGTATCGGGAATTGGTTAGACTGCCAGGATTTGATATTAGTAGATAGAAACAAAACAAGGCTAACTATTATCGTTAAGAGAACGATCAGTGATATAAATAGTGCGTGGACGTTATCGCCAAATCGTAGAATTGAATACACAACGTAAATATTTATTTTTCAAATGCTTTTATTTTAATTATACGAACTCTAATATTGAAGTGTTTTTTCCATCAAGCCACGTGTACAGTGCCTTCCTCAAGTGCGATAACATTTTGCAAGGCAATTCCACAAAATTGATGCAATAAGTTTGAAACTGCGATCACGCCAATAAATAGGTAAGTAATTATCGACAAACTCCTCTATACAAAAGTTATTTTGAGTTGCTCTACGTACAATCGTACGTTACTTTAGTGCTCGTTATTGAACAAATGACCGACAGGCCGACATAAAATATACTAGCCTTTATTGCCATAAGAGAAATGTTTTTGTATTTTCTTCGCTAACAATGAACAAACATTTAATCTGTTTTTCTTAACGTGTTATACCAGAAATTTGTGACGAGAACTCCAATTATTTTTAGTGTGAAACCAATATATGTAATAGCTATCCCGATGTTTTTATGAGGATTTGCAAAAAAACAAACTCTAGGATTTCACAGGATTCTTCTAATTATTGGAATTGGATAATTAGAAGTTCCATTCCAACATGAACGATTAGGTGTGAATTGGTCATAGCAGTTGTAATCTTTTATGTAGTTTCAGTGGGTTTGAGTCATCGTCGATTTCCTCTTATACGATGGTAATGCCTCAAAATTTGACATTGATTGGAAATGGAATACAAGCTAAGAATGACGAGGAGAATTTGTTTGCCGGTCTGAAAAGGTCTTGTCGATAATCCATACAAGAAAAAAGAAGTTCAACAGAATTACCCCTAGAAGCTAAATAATTGAATTCTTTTTCATGCCAATCATTTGTCTGTTCGATATTATATGGCATCAGGATCAATAGAAAAAGTTGTCACAGGGTTGGTAAATACATATGGCTAAAGAAATTACGACGTAAACAAGTCAACGAATTGTGTCCCCGGAAAACTTCGTGGAATTGGTATCTCCTGGAATAACATTGGTGACAATACGTAGCGGTCCCTTGAAAACTGGAGAAACGTGTCGCAGGAAAGTGTTGCTGTTGGCAAAATATTAGGAAACTTCTAGAACGTGTTGTGTAATAAAGTGAAGCCATAGCATCCCATGGGACGTGCGAACTATTTTTATTTTTATTCAAACAGCGACGTGGACTCCCTTTTGAGCACGTTGGAAAATTGCGTGAAAATCACGTATCCTTCATCTTGGCTTGTAACACTCCCCGCAACTGAAAGGCTTACTCTGAAGTGTCGTTCCAGAGTCGAGCGTGCCAGAGGCGTTAAGAGACGATAAAAGCCAACGATAAACGGCAACTGTGCTTGCAAGCACAAGCGTAGTCCGACTGCGGTCTAATTTTGTGGTGTAAGCTTGGCCACTTAACAGGTGAAGTTAAGTAGGGACACTTGGCATGAGAAACAATGGGAAATAATCAAGAGAGAAAAAATAGTAAATTCTGAAAACGATATCGCACTACAAAAAGCACTACAGAAAAATTCGATAGGAACTTATGAGCTTCGTTTTCTTTGCTTATTATTTTGTTTACTGATAGCAGGCGGTCGTGCAAGTGCTTGCTAGAAAGAAAAGGAAAGAAGTCGGATCGTAAATCTTAAACTGCGTTGTCGACCTACAAGCCACAAATATCCAATAAAATCGCGCCAGTTTGTAAATCCTAAAGGATCGTTGAACCATCCACTAATTTCGGAGGAACATCTTGTATACGTTTAGCGTTTGATAGTAATTTTACCCGATTAACACTGATCACAGTTAGTTGAGCGGACGCTAAGGAAAATTCCAGAAATATGTCCATCATAAAGGTTTTCTACAAGACTGAACTTTGATCAAGGGTTAAAAAGATCTAAAGCGATCAAGCAGAGCGGATCTCGTTAACCTCAACGCTTATCTTACGCCTATGGATAGTTTATAAAACAGTCTGTTTGGTTATTGGAGGTTTAGACTTCGATATTTTGACGGGTATAGAGCTCGCAGTTTACTCTTGAACGCAAAACTTCGTTTACGCACGTCTGTCGCTCATAAACCGGAGACTCCCTTAATCTTCTCGATAGTAACCAGTGCCGAATAACTCGAACCGATCTTTTTAAAATCATGAGAAAGATAAACAATCAATAGGATCACATCTAATTTTAGCCAATATGCATCAAGTTGAACGAGGCTACGCATAAATGTATTGGCATTTTATAAGCCGCATTTAGATCCTCAGGGCGAAGCAACGTTTACATGATAAATTCAAACGTAGTGCTCCTTTTCCCGCCTAACGCTTCTCCGCCAATTGCAACGGTTTTCAACTTGTTTCGTTTCTTTAACGCTCGTGCGCATGCGCCGTTGTTCACGAGGCTTCTCAGACGATCAGTATCTTTCGCAATGGCGATCAGAAAGAAACAATGCTTGGTTCTCGTCGCTCGGACAGATCCACTATATAAATCCCTGTTGAAATAATATTTGCTCGAGCGCAAACGAATTTACGGCTTTGCTCTCTAGGCATTGATATTGCTAGGATCGTCGGCTAGTCATTCTTCCGGAATGAGTTTTTAGTTCGTCATTATTTGCGTCCTTCCTTTTACTTCCGAGAAAATTACGAATAACGATAACAATGAGCATAACAATGTTCCGACTATCGGAGTTTTCCTCTATTACGCGTAAAGAAATAGTTTTGTGGCTGGTAATGGAATACGCAATGTGCAATGCAAGGCAATGTAACCCGAGCAACTGCACTACAACAGTAAGGTGAAGCAGCGTGCATATGATAAGCTACGTATACATGTGGTTCGTAACGAAATTGTGTCTTTGTAGTCTTTGATTAACGTTATACAGTATTTAGCAATATTTTTATCGCTGATAAGCTATCAGGGTGCCGATAATCAACAATAGAAATCCAAAAGTAATTGCTACAATTATCGGATAACCTGACCAGTCGTGAGTTGCTGGATTTTTTCTCTCCTGTTTCTCTCTCTCTCTCTCCCTCTCTCTCTCTTTTCTCTCTTCCAGTTATTGGATACTCCTGATCCATTGTCCTTTGCTAGACTGATATTTGATATCGGATGGTCTGCTGCTGCGCAATGCGCTACGTAACGCATCGTTGCTCACGGTGTTAGCATGAGTTATTAGTATTACCCGATGGAGAACCTGGAAAAATGTGTCAGGGAAATTGCTGGTTATACATCCATGAAAGGTAGAATGGGATATGTATATTCTTTTACCTAGGGAGCATTATTTCCATGAATAAATAAAGTTACGTATTAGAATCAATAGGAAACGTGCACTGTATAAGGTAATAATGTAAGGCTTCGATAAACAGAAATATCAGTAAATCTATTGCCTTATTTAATATTGTTTTTTGCTATGTAATAGAGATATTAGATAGTTTGGCAATGGTGTGTATAAATTCCTAGAAAAATGGCAATTGTGGTCACATTTGTACTCGTCCTAAACGAATGGAGAAAATACATAAGAGTACCTCCTGAATATACCAGTCCTCTTTTTTGTTTGGATATAAGTAACACCAGTGTATAGGTACATATATATGTAACTAGGGACCGATAAATAAATGGACTTAGTCCAGTATACATGCTGGGGAAATAAACGATGATTTTCTAATAAATGGCAGGCTTTTCCACCCACTGTGAAATATGTCACTCCTTCTGTCAACGTTACGAAATGACGGCAGCGTTTGCTGAGACGTCGAGAATAGGAGAAGGAAACAAGCAGCACTAGACAGATAGAAAAGAAAGAAAAGCCATACGACATAAAGTGGCAGACGGAGAGAGATAAAGTTTACGTGAAGGAAAAAAAAGGTAAAATTCGAAAAAGATATTCATCTCTTTTTTTTACTTTTTTAGTTGTGGTTTTTCACTTTTTCCTCTTCTTGTTTTTTTGTCCGCGTCCACTTCTCTCTTATTCTTCATGAGCCAAGGAGAATTCCATCGAGATACGCACTGCCAGTCTATAAACTTTCCTAAGAGCTTTAGGGCGGCGCGAACAAATCGTCATTGGCGTCTCGGCGATTTTCACCAGATAAATAAAATACTTTGAATAACTTCCATTGGCTTTACCACTGCTATTACTAGTAGTGGTATTATTACATATAATAATTAGTCAGCCAAGGATGCGCGAGCTTAGAGTGAAAAGCGTGAGAATACACGCGACAGCAGATGTGTCAAAAAGTTAGGTTAGAATAAATGAAAGTCAAGGGAAATTTTTTTGGACAGAATCAACAAAGTTTCTTTTAAAATCTCAAGGGATAAGAACTCGTTATGTCTCATGGACTGCGTGGATAAAAATTTCAATTTGTACTTGAGTTTCACCGAGAGACTGATGAAGAAACTTTCACGTTATACGTATTATTAAGTCTACGGGGAATTTACCGCCATTTTTATTTCCCTCGGCCCTCTAGCTGTTCTATTATTTTGCCTTTACAGTTTTCACGGGACAATCGTTTCGAACGAAACTTTTCGAACAACACTTGTGTCTCTTTAGTCAGTCGCGCGAAATGCAAACGAAACAGTATGCGGCGCGATAAATTCTCTTCGGACTCGCCGTTACGGTAGCAGTTCACTAAAAGTATATTCTGTCAAGATCGACGTACCGTGCGTAACGAAACTTTTTAGTGACGCCATTCAATTCGACGGTTGGAAGGTCTCGCACCTTCGTCAGAAATCTAGGAAAAAAGAGATAGGATTACGTGATTTCTCGTGGCATAAGTAAGATACAAAAAAGTATGGATGACTTTTAAGTCGAAGACTGTTTTTGTCACTGATGACGAATAGACGCCATCTTGAATAGTTACATTGTGCGTTTCCGGCATAGTTGGGAATCAAGCTAGAGACTGTATTATGTGAACTGTTAATTTATATATAAAAGGATTGGATGAATGTGAATGAAAAAGTGAGTAATACTTATTTCTAATAATATATACATTTTTAGATATTCATTATTCTTCTTTTTGTTAGCTTTTTTTTTTCTTTGACAAGTAACGCCTCTGTCGTTCTGTAACGTTAATGGATATTCAATGACATCTTTTATTCCGTGGCCAAATTCACGCAAACGCCCACTGTGTCGTTAAATATTTTCTTTAAAAACAGAAATCTGTCAGTGCCATTGACACTCCCCGGATCTGCCAATTAGTCGAAGGTGTCAATTAGCGAACTATGTCGGAACATTTCTACAGTCCCGTTTCGCAACTCTTATTTATCATTTTACAGTTCTCTTCCGCCTATCGTTATTTTTTCTTCTTTTCTTTTTTACAAATAGTGTGAAAAATCTTTTGCAATCGTGGTAATGGCCCGTTTCCTTGTCGGCTGTCCAGACATTCGACCCGGAAACCTTGCTCTCATTTTTCGATCGGTCGATCAAGAAGAAAATGAAAAAAAACCGCAACTGTGTAAAAGGAGCTAGAAAAAAAAATACGTCAAGGAAATTGAAATTACAACTCGGCACTTTTGGCGCTGTTTGATTTCCGGCTGAATGAAAGTGCCGTGCGCCGGAAACGGAAAGCAAGTCAAATGGAAATGATTTTACCAGGCCGGACTTAAAGAGAACGTCCAGATGGTTTGACAAACTTTTGTGGGGTAAAAATTGGTTAAACAAATTTTTCTCCAAATATTCAATGTAAAACAACACGTATTCTAGGCATTTGATTTCATTAAACTGAAATCTCCTCGATCGTAAACAAATAATTCATGTCTATCAAACGAGATTCTTAAAGAACTTGGCGGGTCTATAATACGTGTGTAACTTCCTGCAGGTTGAGACTATATAATTATTTGGTAGCTATTGTCCCTCGATAGATGGATTTAACTCTGGCTTAGTGGAGACTTATGATCACGTCTATAATAGATTGCTCGAAGAGAAAATGCTCGGTTGTACATCTTCGGTCGGACGTCAGTAGCTACCGTCTGAAAATTTTCAAATCTCAACTTACAGGGCGGAGTCACTTAACCAATCTAGCCAAAGAAAATATACGATAAATCCCGTGGGATCGTCGCGACTCGCAATCGCCATAAGCCATCGCTATGCATGGCCGAAAATTTAGAGAAAACACGTGTACGATATTTTTGAAATTTGACTCAGCCGATCAGGGTGAATAGAGCTTTCCTCTCTTTTTATATTATATTTATAATCTTTATCTTTCCAATTGCGTACGTTGCGCACACTTGGATTTTGAATATAATTCAAATTCTCTTAGCCGTTGTGCTATTCGTCGTTTGGGACTTCGTCTCCGCGCATGCGCACTCCCGGCCACGCTTGACTATATTCATATTTCACATTTTTATTACACATCGAAAACGCCATCCAGGCGGAATTAATCGTTTCGAATATTTTGGCGGATATTTTCGTTTCTAACGCGCTCGCGACGGCAATGTGATGTTATTTTAAGCCCCACTCGAAATTACTTTTCTTTTCAATGTTCATCTCCGATAGCTTTCGAGAGTCACTCGTTGACTATGGCCGAGAATAGAAATTTCATTTTGATATTTTTCAAACCAACCGGTCACTAGAAGCCGCGTCGACGTAATAAATGGCAATAACGTACAGGGGTTGTAGTTCCGAGGAGGGGGGGGGGAGGGGATGACAGAAGGGAAAAAGTAATTATTTTCATCCTTGGTGTTAAATCCAATTTAAAAAAATAATCTGTGAATTTTCGACGATCTCTCGCCGCGATAATTTGTGAATAAAAAAAGTTTCAAACAATTTCATGGCTTCGCTTTAATAAAGTGACAGGGAGAAACGAGGGCGCTAAAAAATATTTGGATGTTACAAGCTTTGATATTTGCTTTGACTGTTATGACTCTTGTCTGGTCTAATTAGTGAGAACGTTAGTAGATTATGGATGAAAAATATGCGAAGGTTACGGTAACGTTAGGAGTAGCCAGGGTAAGGAACATAAAGATAGGTAAAAATCGATAACTGTAATCTATGTATTATAATCTGTAATCTGTAATTAAATAATAAATATTATTTTAAAATAGTCCGATCCACATGTATGTTGATTGGATGATTATAATTTTAAAAATCATTCGTGTCATTTAATTAAAGTGTGTGTCTGTCCTTATTCGTTTCAAATTATATTGGCAATCCAAGACAGATCTGTTTGACGGATTTGTTAAGATTGAAAATGAAAAGATGATCTGTTCACAGATCAAAAGTTTCAGGGAGGCTCTCTTCGGGGCGTGCAGCTCTCGTGACACTTCAAACGCCACGATCTTTATAAGCTAAATCGTTAAATTCGTGTATAGCGATCGCTCCTACTTTTCCCTGTCTTATGATGGTACAAAAATAACCACAACCTCCTACACGACAGTCACTATTCGCACTTTTTTTTGCGCAGACTCTGTTCCTTTTTAACATTTTTTTTTTCATTATTTTCTTCAGGGCAACTATCCACGTCACGAGAGTACCTATGCGTGCTACACGTACACTGGGGATCACGTCGTTCACGAGTCAGAGTTGCCTTAGAGTGCGATACGAAATCTCTTGGCAGTAACCTAGTTCCAGTAACATTGCACAGACCTGTAGCCACGCACCTAGCGATAACACCAGACTATTTTTGTACAGAACCGTCGGCTTCAACGGTTTAATGCGGGAAAATTCAAATTTACAAACTTTACTCTGAGATCGATGCCATTTTATATTTTCTTTGGGTTCTTTAGATTCGTCGACTACTTCCTTCTTGAAGGCTTCGTTATCCTGTTTGCATATCCACTCAGCATTTCTTTTACGTTTTCATCGCAAGTTATGCATGGTCTATATGCTATGTTGTTTATGGATATTTTTAAACACGTGTAAGCTTTCCGTCGGACAGAATTGCTAAAAATAATAAACAGAGAAGTAGATCGACTTTCTAAACACTAATGAAAAAATATGTAAGCCGTAGAAATTCTGGCGATATATACTTCGACAGTGCAGTTTAGATTGTCTGTTGATTTTTGGACTAGAGCTTGGCAGGACGCCATTGAATTTGTTTCAATGAAATAGTCAAAGGAATATAATTAGTAAGAAAAAAATAAAATAATTAGAATCTGGAAATTGCATGACATCCATGTATTTCTTTAGTGGCATTTTAGACTTTGAAGTCTATTGACTTCTGGGCTATGATTCCTGTCGGATCGACGCCATTGTTACTATCGGAATGAAATACTGAGTCTATAGAAAGGAACTGTGCTTTGAGAAGCGTGGAGAATATTTAACTCTTTGCGGTAGAAGGCCAGGATATTCCCGGCAGGATACCCATGCCAAAAAGTATTACGACCGCAAAGAGTTAACCTGTAAAAGTGTCCAGTCAGGTCATGGATGAATTGACATTGTGAATTCAATGCTTTATCCAGTATGGAATAATTCGAGTTTTCATGGAGTCTTTCTATCTTTTTACAGACATGAATCTACTTCTACTCTATGGGTTCCTACTAGTGGGAGTTGGAATGGCCAGTATTGAGGACGTTATGGTCCTAGGGGCTGGTTCGATGCTTGTGATGGACCAGGAAATCCCATTGAAACGTTGCCGGTACAACCGTGTCTATTCTATGCTTCAGGCACAATGCTCCAATCTTGGATTGGATGAGATTCCAGGAAATCTTCAAACTGATATCCAGGTAAATTTATTCATCTCCAATTTTTAAACTCTTAGTTACATCTTTTGGAGTCTTGGACTGTCATTTGTAATGTTGATCTTACATTGTTTACTTTCAGGTTCTGGATTTTTCTCTAAACAGAGTACGGGAATTGACCAATGAGAGCTTATCACGTTATAGTAGTTTAGCTTACCTGTACCTGGGGGATAATTTTATCCAGACCATAGAGAAAGGTGTATTCTCAAATTTGCGTTACCTCCAGGTGTTGGACCTGACGAAGAACGGTCTTCGTAACTTTCCTCAATCCATGTTTGAACTGCCATACCTGAGGAAACTTTACTTGGCTAAGAACAACCTTCCGGACGAAGCTTTCCAGGCGGAAATTAAGTCACCCATCGAGTTTCTTCAGCTGTCCAAGAATAAATTGTCCAGGATACCTAGGATTGGTCCTCAGCCGTTCCTCACCAATCTGAATCTATCCGAGAACGAAATTCAGATCGTTTCTGTCGACGACATCGCCGGATTCTGTAGTTTAAAGTTGCTCGACCTTACGAAGAATCGAATAATATTCGACACGCCCGACTGTGGCTGCTCTGAATTTAAATTATGGACAGAGACTCGTGGCATTCAAGTGAAACCGTCGTACAACTGTAGTCAAATTTCTGATAAATGTTTGGCTATGAGCTTCTCGAACAGGACCTTGGAACTGCGAGAAAATTGTCTGGATATTATCAAGATTCAGGAAGAAACTAAAAAGGCACGATCCACATGGATTCTCATTGCTTCGTGTATAGGGGCTTTCATTTTCTGCGTGGTTATAGCGCTATGCTGTGTACACAGGAGGAACAAGAAACGACGTCAAAAACTCAAGGAGGAACAAAGACTGGCAGCCAACAATGCAAATACCGAATTACTCAATAGTAATTTACAACCTGAACACACGTGATATACTAAGTATCGTGGCTTGATGGTAACATTACTTTTAACGTCCATACAGGAAGCGGAAACGCAGAAGGCTCTTTGCCGGAGGAAATCCTCCGAGATATACCGTCTTACGAAGAGTGAAAAGAAGAGAGAGATGAAGAGAAAGATTCGGGACAATTAAGAAACCATTTCGTTCTTTTAAATAGTCCAACAGAAGATATTCTGACAGTATCAAGGTGAAATTGCAAGTGTGGTGTTTGAATCTGCCCGATGAAACTGCGCATGCGTCAACAGGACCTGACAATCTAAATACTCTTAATGGTGAAATTCATGAAATACTGATTTTCATACTTTTCTTATTGAAACATGTATTATACATGTATTATTAATGTTTGTTATTATTTTGTTTTTCTTTATATTATTGTTTAAACTAACTAATGGACGACAAATGTTAGTTCCTAATTTATAAAAATTAATATATATATGAGGTATATGAAACTATATATATAGATATCCAGGGTCAAACTTTATCCAACTTATCAGCTAAATTGGATCTGGCCCAATTGTTACGGCTTATACGGTATACTTTACGCACTACCGTATTCTATTCAAGAACTTTCGGTTGTAACTATACGAACTCGTTTGGCTAGTCGGGGAAAAGAAGCAGACGTTGCGGTATGTTGGTACAATTTTAGAATTTTATTTCTACCGTTTATTTTTTACCTGTATAATGTAAGTGGCTGGCCCTATTTAATACGAGAAGGATGAATGTTTGATGGATGCATTCAAGAGGAGCACCAGCTGTCAGAAATTCATAAATAAAGTGATGCGATCAAAATTTCGATCAAGAATCAATTCTTGTTCCTTGGACATTCGTGTATCCTTATTTTTATCTTGCACATATGGATATTAACTGCATGAGTCAGACGATGTATATTTACTTGAAAGAGACTCCGAATTGCGAGATGAGTTTAGTTACCATGAGAATAACTTTAATGGTGGAATAAGAGCGGTAATACTTGTCATTAGATTTGATAGTGATTTTTGTTTTCCTTTTGTTTAGCTACAAGAATACCGTACAGTTTTGCATTTGTCTTATTCTTAGATTTTCTATCCATACAAATTATACTTAGGAGGCCTTTTCTTTTTACGTGACTGAAATATGAATATGCATTGGCACATTGTGTGTTTTTGAATGAAAGATCTTCGGCAAAATACGTAAAGTACATGAATTACTATTATTGATGCATCACCAGAGACTACGTTGACACGTAAGGTTCTATGTGGAAAATTTATGATCGTAAGTTGCACACTTGAATTTTTTTACATGTATATGAAATTTGAAATAAATGTTACTGCTTTATCTTTCTATCATTTTTCGATTTTAGTCCTTTATATATAGTTCTAACTGTTTCTAATAGATAGCAACACATGCGGAGAAGAAGTTGATTTTACATTAACTACTGTCGATAATGCATCTTCGGTTTTAAAACATTAAGCACAGACATGAACCTTTTAATAATTAATTAAATTCGAGTCGAAGAGGTTTCTTCCAATTAATGATAGATGGCGATAGTGAAGCAAAGATGAAGGGAGAAAGAAAGTGAAAGAGACATTGTCGAACCTGAAGTATCACTGAAAGACACAGGCGGCAAATAGTATAACGGTGGTAGTGCCTGAAAGATGGCGGTGTCTAGTCGCGTGCGATTCCTAATTCTCTTCATTTTTGGAATATTCATCGCAAAGGGTTGCAATGCGGCTGCGACGGATATCGAATTAGATGCTAAAGCTCAATTATTACACAGATTGGACAGTCTTAATCTTCTGCTCTACACATTTCTATTGATTCTAACGGTTCTGACTATCTGGACCTTTAAGCATCGTCGGCTACGCTTCCTCCATGAAACTGGTCTCGCTGTCATTTACGGTAACTTTTTTATCACTGTTTGGCTATTTGATTTCTGTTAGAATTTTAATGTGATTCATCATGAGTAACCGATAATTATTATTACTTTCTACGTTACATAATTTCATGAAGTCCTTGAAACACAATAAAATGTGACAATATTACTTGTGGTATAGTGAGTTCTGTCAACTGTCATTATTGAAAGTATACAATTTTGTCTTGTATTAATTTATTTGATGATTTTTATCAATTTATCAGCTGTATAATGAATTTGTAATACGTTACTTTCTTTAATTATTAATATCTTTATGGCTGTCACTGACTGTTTATATATATTTATGAGAATTTATTGATTTTGAAGAATTTATATTGTTTTTATTATTTTGCATATTCTATTATTTGTGTCTACTTTTTCTTTTTAATTTCTTTTACTGAATATATTTCTTAACTAATCATTAGTATTTATGCCTCCTAAGTGGTTACCATGATCTTATTTTATACATGTTGTTCTTAATTATATAGTAATATTTATATTATTTTATGGCTTCGATTGGAGTACTAACATTTATGAATATTTTATTACATAAGGTAAATTACATGGTATCTACAAGATACTTAGAGTACTGTATTGCATTTGCATGTGTAACATATAGCTATATTTATATAATATAGAATGGAATGCTGTTAGTAGTTGCACAATTTTATTATTTACATTTTAATTTATTGATGATCATGTAACAGCGTATGAACATCTTGCATCACAATCTGCTATCTGAGACTTATTTAGTATAGTTTTAATCATCAATCAGTTATATCAATTTTTGGCTACCTCATGATCTATCAGAAATCCTATTCTAGGCTTCTCTGAAAATATTACTCATATATTTGAATAATTAATAATGAACCATATCTTGCTTGTTACTATGTAAGCTTAGAATTCTTATATATACTTTCCATTGTAGGACTTATTGTGGGTGCAATTATTCGATATGGGTTTACAACAAACAGTGCCATTCAGCACATGCCTGTGGTGCCAGATAATAGCAGCAAATATAATCAGTCAGTACCACCGGATACTCTGTGGCTTAGATTTCCTGAAGATAAGGGTGGCGGTGTTATAAAGAATAAAACATTTGCCTATACTTTTCGTGGAGAAATTTACAAGCAGGACAACGAAATAGACCTCAAGGTACTTGTCAGCATCTTCGTAATAGCTTAACTCTTATTGTAACTATGTCAGAAGTTTCTTATAAAAAAAATATTTTAAAGATCCATACGGAGATAACGAACCATATATACACGTCTCGCGTTACCGAAATATGAGTGATTTATAGTGAACAATCATCATCCTATTTAAGATCTAATAGAATGATAATATCACATGACGTTTTAATTCTATCTAAACAGTATTATTTTTCTTCAGGCTACCTTCGATCCTGAGATATTCTTTAATATCATTTTACCACCTATTATCTTTCATGCTGGTTACAGCCTCAAGAGGGTAAATATTTGGATGTTTTCTTTACTTTCATTTCATTTTCCTCCACACATATCCTATTTAATGATGTTTCTCAATGTTTTCAGAAATACTTCTTCAGAAACCTGGGCGCCATTCTTATGTTTGCTTTACTGGGAACGACCATATCGTCTTTTGTTATTGGGTGAGCACGTTCTGTCCTGAATAAGTAATTGTTGCCCTCGATTACATCGTTTACGCACGTTGCCATTTTCAGTGTACTACTGTTATATTATCAAGGCGACCTCAACTGACTTTGTATTATCAACTCCTTGTTTTCTACACTCCAGACATCGCTTGAACAATAGTGATACGCGTGGAGATTATGCCAATACCTGATAAATTATATTGAAATGATAATAACAAGGAGGATAAATCCAAAGAAAAACATGCAGTTTTATCTTTACTTTCTTTCAGTGTTTTGATGTATGCTTTTATACAACTGATTCCGCACTTAGCGAGCTCCTTCACTTTCCTGGATACGCTGTATTTCGGTGCCCTGATATCGCCCACCGACCCCCTCACCATTATTTCTATCTTCAACGATCTACACGTAGACGTCAACCTCTACGCCCTGGTTTTTGGCGAGAGTGTACTCAACGACGCCGTCGCCATTGTTCTTAGCGGGTAAATTATTATTATTTACAAACTTTTATTTAAAAATTACACTATTACTATTGCATTAAATTCACTTGCAGGTCTATACAGAACTATGGAGAACGTTATCAATCCGGTTCCGGTGGCTTTGAGACTGTGGCCTTCTTTCAGGCACTTGGTGATTTCGTAGGCATATTTAGTTTGTCACTATTTATAGGCGCGACAATGGGATGTATTACAGCATTCTTGACAAAGTTCACAAGGGTCCGTGACTTCCCGCTCTTAGAATCCGCTCTTTTTGTACTGATGTCCTACAGTACATTTCTCATAGCCGAGGCATCGGATCTCACTGGTGAGTAAAAATCTGATACTTGCAGCATCCTTATCAGTTGGATCACTTACTGAATTTATTAATTACAGGTGTGGTGGCTGTGCTATTCTGTGGTATATGCCAGGCGCATTACACGTACAATAATCTGAGTACGGATTCGAGGCACAGGACGAAGCAGCTTTTTGAGCTGCTGAACTTCCTCGCTGAGAACTTCATATTCAGCTACATAGGTGTGTCCATGTTCACCTTCCCCAAGCATCACTTCGATCCGGGCTTCATATTCGCCGGTTTCGTATCCTTATAGAAAGAGTTAAATTTTATATCATCTTAAAGAAGAACCATGCCACCCTTTTAAAGAATAATTTCCTTAACCATAAAACAGTTTTGCGCACTGGTTGGTCGGGCTGCAAACGTCTACCCACTCTCCTTCCTATTAAACTTAGGAAGAAAACCTAAGATCCCAATCAACTATCAACACATGCTCTTCTGTGCTGGTCTACGTGGAGCCATGAGTTTCGCTTTAGCAATTAGGAATACCGTATCCGACGCCAGGCAAGCTATGCTCACTACCACGAGTCTTATTGTCATCCTGACTGTGATATTCCAAGGTGGCGGTACCACGCAGTTCCTCAGTTGGTTTGATATTCCGTTAGTATATCTGTTTACTTGATTGGTAGCTTCGTTAACTGTTTATTAATGAACACGAATATCGTTTAAACGTTTCTTTGATTGTCTCTAGGGTGGGCGTTGACGAAGAGGTCGAAGGGTTATCCTACAATGGCGTGCGAAGCGTAAGTATCCAATCAATCCCAACACGCTCTTGAATCTTTGTCGATTGTAGCTCACTTGTGTCGAAAAATCTATACTATGTACACCCGTATACCAGATTCAGTCGTAGTGGAGTGTGTAAAGCTTTTTAGTGTTAATTGTCACTGCGTCTGACCCGTTATCCTTTTCTCCTGCTTCACATTCAGCCTTACGATTCGGTGGATTCCGCCGGGGTGGGTACGTCATCACTCTGTCGAGTGATGCAAAGCCATACTTTATTTTATTTTTTCTATTTTGAATAATATGCACATGAATTCCACATACTTAAAAAGAAAATACCAAATGGCACAAATGAGAAACGCGCCGTGCGACGCGCTTCTGCTGAATCAAAGTGAAATCACAAGTTGTCACGTTAGATTTTACCGCATGAAACGTGAGATACGAGTGCCTGTCAGAAAATTTGAAATATTTTTTGTGGTTGATACATACGTGTTTATTGTCGTATTACAAAAAGACCGTCACGATTCATCGTTTCAGTCTTTTTTTTTCCATCATTTATTTGATTCGTAATTTTTTAATTTCTTTTTCTGTTATAACTTTTACTCTTTGACGTTTCTTCTCGAGCATGTCAGCGAATCTTTCCAGGTATCTGTAATGCCTTTGTAATTATACCTGGAAATTTTTGCTGTTGCGAGATCATATGACTGTGATTGGCAAATACAAAAAGTTCACTTGGCAATGTTAATAGTCCGGTGGCGAAGGTGGCTTTGGTGATCTGGACGTGCATCGGGAAAGAACTCCCCCGGTATGTTTGAATATCGCATCGAGAATGTAATACTGACATCTCGTGTGTTATCAATATTATCTAACAAGTCTTGAGCGTGAGTGAACACCCATGAGTGACGATTCCTTGGCTTGATTTTTGAAGGCAACGAGGAAATCGCATGCGAGCATTCTGACTCATCCTCATTAAACTAAATGGGAATTAGATGGCTTTGAATTTTATAAAGAAAACTGATCCAATAACACAGATGCTTCCTTACACGTTTGCTTGGGGGTAATTATTGCCAAAGTGGCTATATGTCCTGGTGAAGTGAAAGAGAATGAAAGAAAGCGAGAGAGAGAGAGAGAGAGAGAGAGTGAGATTGAGAGGCAGATATATTAATAAAAACAAATGCAACTAGCGCATGCCGCTACTAATTTGCTTGATAAAATATTTTTTGTTATCCATTCTGTATGTCGAGACTCGACAGTAGCACTGAATGAATTTATTTGCATCCCCTAATATGTACGTGTACGAATTAACAAAAGCGTACGAGAATAATTGTATTTAAAAAGTATCAAATTCCGGGCATGAATCGTACAAGAGCGTTTATAAAAGAGTATGGCAAAAAAAGTTATCAACAGCAACGGGGGTGGCAGGTGTGTAACATTGAAAAAGGAAGAAGGAATGTCAAGCTGACAACTTTAAAACTAAATAAAATAGTTTTTGCTACTAATGCAAGTAGTTGAGGATTTTAGATGGGTCAAGTGAATGATTAATCATTGTCCTAGGATCCTCGTCACCTTTTGATGATGGTTCCCGTACAGATTACACTGATCCCAAATCCATCTATAGCAGTAGAGCCAATCCGAAGTGTCCAGAACGTCGTGATCTCCTGGAAGCAGACTATCATACAGAATGGATAACTAAAGTGCTGTTCACGTTTCACAGTATAATTCTATGCAGGATGGTTCGTTGCCTGGTGGTTCCGGTACTAAAGGCAACGAGAAAGCTCTCCTAGCGAGGATCTGGGGTGACTTTGATACGAAATACATGAAACCATTGTTGACACATTCGCGGCCAACCTTGCTGGAAACATTGCCAGTATGTTGTGGTCCACTTGCCAGGATCCTGACTACCACCCAGCAGATGACTCAGGTAAATTGGCCACTGTGCTATCTTAGGGTATTATTGGTTGACAAAGCCAATGTATTTTTTTTGACAATTCACAAACAGTACAATCCTTATTAAATCATACGTGCCTTTATATATTATAGTCATGGAAATATTTGACAAACTTCGAGCAACGCGCACCTATGGCGTGCGGCAAAAGATGGCAGCACTGAACAAGTACTCGTATTAGGAACGAGGACGCAAGTTTCTCATATTTATTTTTATTTTTCAACGTAATCAAGAGACTCGGTCGAGTCTCGCGCTAAGTACAGACAACCGGCTGTACAGGGCGCAGCGTCTCCTTTTAGGGCGATACACTTTTCCCAACTTCCCTGCCACTTCGTCAAACCATCTAAAAAATACGATTGGTCAAACTTCTTAAAATAGGCTTCATAGTCTCGACTGTAACCTTCTCGTTGGAGCTGAATTTTTTTCCCGCGAGCCACATTTTCATGCCGGGAAACAGAAAAACCTTGCAGGAAGCCAGTTTAAGCGAATGCGGCAGCAATTCGTAACGCAATTCATGCAATTTGGCCGCAACAATACTGGATGAGTAACCTGGTGCGTTGATCTGGTGGAAGAGGACTTTTTTCTTGGCCAAATGGGGCCGTGTCTCTTTCTATTTCTCATCGAATCGGTCCAATAATTCACTGTAGTATTGTCCCTTGATCGTGCTTTCTTTTTCTAGAAATTCTGTTAGTCACTTCGAATCCCAAAATATCATTGTCATGACCTTGCCGGCCGATGGGACCGTCTTCATCAGCAGTGACGACTCGACCCAAAAAAATCCTGCGAATTTCGCTTAAAGAGGTTCAAACACTGCTGCAAAGTTATCAGCCATATTCGCTTGTTGTCCACCGTGAGCGATCGCGGTACCCATCGGGCCGAAATGGTAGTGCCTTATCATTCAAAGGGTTAAAAACATAAAATATATATCAGTGAAAAAACATGCGAAAAAATACTTCGTTACAAAAATTAAAATCAGAGTCACGTATGGCTTACTAGAGATTTCATTGTTTCCGAACTGTCAGAAAAACATATTAACCTCGTAGACCATGTATAGCTCACGGAATGCACGTGTCAAAGCTATGAGTCTGCAATGCAATTCTAATTTGATATTATTTTTCATCACTGTACCAGGACGACGTGACACGGCACGTGGACTCTGATTCGGATCTTCACGTCGAGATTCGCGAGATGGAGCGAAGGAGAACCAGTATTCAACCGGTGAGTTTTCATCAAGCTAGTCACAATTATGCAACCAATCCATGCTACCAGCCAAACGGCACAGCCGTAACTAACGCGGACGAGCCTTACGTCATATTGAATTTACCCAGAAGATAGGATCGTTCCCTGATCTCATTTATTACACTTGCTATGAAGAACCAATACTAACTAAACATCTTGCCACTTTAACTATCGGAATCGCTATGAATATTTCTATTTTATATTCTACTCACGTCTTGTAATCATCTCGGCACTCTCATCGCCATTGTGGATGAATTTTCATTAACCTTTTACACATACTATATCCCAGTGGCCCTTGATGGCTCTCTTGTAGAACTTGATGTTTACGTTTTGTATGAGGGAAACGTTTTTTTTACTTTTATTCATTAATTTAATTATTTATTACTTCAGATTGCAGAATCACTCGCGGACGTCAATGTGACTAAGAGATTGGTCTTACGTTTGCCTCATATAAAATGTGTCGTTTGATCAATGTGCATGCGTTATTAATAGATATGAAATCCTAGAAAATGATTGTGCACAAGTTCCTGGGGACTAAATCTGTACCAACTTACAATGGCTGTTCTGTCTTACTGTACTGATAAAAATGTGACTGGCCACGACGTCGTTATTCGTCTGGGAACTCGTGGATCGTCCTTTCTCTCTACTAAAATATTTCCTGGAATCTAACGGATCCTAACGAACCTAATGTCACCATCGGCTCATCGTTCCTGCTGCGAATGGTATTCAATATGCATATGATCAAGTGCCAGTATAAATGTCAACGTTCATGTCGATCCGAGCGATTTGCAATGGACGACGCTGTGCCGATGAAAACGACTGCTAAAAAGGTTGAAAAGAGGGAGCAAAGAGAGGGACGGAAGACCTATGTAAAATTCGTTTAACGCTTTGCGCTTTATAATTTCCTCTTATAAGTCTCGAAAATTATGTTTAATGACTCTTTCGATTAAGCGGGTTCTCTTTGTGTTAACCGTTGTTTGTGGGATATATCAGCGATTAATCAGGCTTCGCAGTGTGATTTCGATACGTTATTTGCTGTTTGAGAGTCAATTAGTTTGTCGCTTTTTGTCCACGTCCAAAAAGTTAATTGTATATATATACACACACATAGAGTTAACGGGTATACATATATCTATGTATAGAGGGCAATGCTAAAAAGCGAAAGAGCAGTTAAGAAAATAAATAGCAGAAAGTGCAAAAAGGCTCGTATGAGTGACGAAGTCTAATCGGTTTTTTTAGAGGAAAAGAAATGATGATCTTGATGATGATGATGATGATGATGATGAAGACCTGAGAATCATCGGATTGGAGGGATTCATTCCCTTGCGAACATTGTGACAGGAGAGAAGCTATTAAATCGTGTGAAAGACTGTTTTTTTTTTTTTGTGAAAAAAATCGCGTACGAATATCGCGTGATGTCTTCGAATGAAGGAAAAGAAGAAAAAAGGACGTAAAGAGACAGAGGGATTATGGTTTCCTATTTTCAACCATTTTTCTTTGTCCGTTTTTTTTTTCATCCACGGTCAAGTCCCTCAGCGCGTTTTGTGATCCTCGTGAAAGTACTAGTATTACGCCCAAAGCACTAATATATATAATATGTACACTATTTATGTACAGCGTATAAAAGTAATGTAGGAAGAAGTGGATAAAAAAGATATTTTAAATTATATTTCCTTTTCTCTCTCTCTCTCTCTCCTTTTCTCTCTGTTTTGTATAGCAATTTTACAAGAACCAGTAACAAAGCTCAAATGAACGTAACTCGTCCTCTGACGATTCTGTCGCTATTGCGTTTGAAACGACCAGGATCAAAGACAGCATTAAACATAATTTTCTCCACCTCAATTCCAATCGGATCCATTGAACATTAATTCTTCAGATTTTGTACAGTCTCTCTTTGAAGTCCTTTGAAAGCCAAATCCCAAAACAGTGTCCAAATTGTTTCATTAGTTGAGAATGATCTCTCGGCGGTGCTTGGAGACTTGTCAGAGAGACGAAGATGAGTATGCGCGAGATTAATTGTTGTTGACATTGACGAGGAGGTGTACGGGTGAAGTACGACAGATTTTATTAAAGCTGCGTTTGTCGCATGCGGCACAAAGGATCCGAGTGCGCCGCAGATTCTCAACTTCATGTGAGAAAACGAATGTTATCTGCCCATCAGTTCTGCTCCGTTTTGCCATTGCAAAGTATAACGGACACTAGGTTCTGTGACTTGTGACAATTTCGATTACTTTGGAGTACTGTGAGTGCGAGTGCGAGAGAACGAGTATACGTGAACATCTATCAGTAATCACTAATTAGTTATTCTTATACTATCGCCAACTGTATATCAGTTGCTACACCTTTGGCTGGAATGGCTTGCGGCTATTACTATACTTATAATTACCATACACAATCTAGTCGTGTTCTAATTTCATGGGAATGGATCAAACAATTGTTCGTTTCTACATTTTATTATTTTTCAAAGGTTACCCTTTGTTTTTTTTGTTCTTCGTACTATTGCGTTGAAGCAACGTAGATATTACAATTGTTTGTCACTGCAAGGATCCTTCTTAGCCAATGACGTCATGCCTCTGATCTGGCTAGCTCATTTTATTTAACTCTCAGCATGCGCTACAACCGTACGTACTATATACTGTACTGTCTATTGTTATTATTAGATTGATAGATATATTACGTAATCACGCTCTTATAATCACTGACGCCCACTCGGTATCCTGTACTATCATTTCCATGCACCTAACGAACATTTTAGTGTTTCTCTTGTGTTCTTATTTAGTTTCTGTGTAGTCTTTAGTTTCTGATTTTCTTTGAGCATTCTTTGCTTTCACTTCTGCTTGATTGACTCACGTCACGTAATTACTTTTTCATTTGATTCGTTCGCAGAGCAATGTCAGGAGCCCTGTTAACAGAGTCCATATATGAGCATCCGATATCTTATGCCAGCTCCAGACTTGAAAACCAAAAACAATATGCAAAAACCTTTCAAAATCTCCCGCCGTCTCACGTATGGTCATCAATGCCCTTTGACCTTCTGGCTCACCGAAGTGACCTCCAGCAACCTGCTGCTCCTACACTCGACGTCGTCTTACATAGAGATTTTTGTATGCTACTGCCTTCACTACTTGCAATATGATATTGTAATTTTATAATCTCTATAATGGAGGTCCCTTCGGTTATTGATACCCTCTTTTTTTTTTTTTAAATGTCTTGATACAATTCTTTTTATTTTTTTTTTTATTTATCACGCCTTGCGTTTATATAACGCATTCCAGATATGTAATATATATATACACGCAGTACGCGTTTGTTGTCCGTTATTGGTTTTTCGAATTTTAGTATTTTAATTGTAAGTTACTTGTTCACCTTGGCATACTTGTGCACACTGTTGCATATATTGGGAGACGAATCCCAGTATTTTTTAGGATTAGCAAGGTAGCTTATTATCATTGTGGCAAAGTAGTTACGGATTCTTTAGATATCTTTTAATTGTGATCCCATGAGAATTCTTCAGAGGCGTTCAAGCGACATGAGATTGGTCCATGTTCTTTTCTTTTCCTTTGCTATGGGATAGAATTATAGAGACCTTGTCAAAGTCACATGGCTCAGAGTGCTTCAAAAGAAAGCGAAGCTTAATGTATGATCATTTTTTTTTACAAAGGGCCGTTGCATCCTTTGACGTGGAAAAATCTTGGAGGGAAAAGTATTATGTGAATTATAATTATTATACATATATAATTATATATCTATGTATAATTAATCACTGATATAAAAATAATATCGACTGTTATTGGCTCAGAACTTGAAGAACTGATAGTTTACTAGCTTTAACTCGTGCCGTAAACCCCTTGAGGTCACCGTGTTGAATCTCATTTTTTTCCTTGTAAGTTTTTTGACTGAGCTCTGCCGGAAATATTTTCTTGGTCTCGGATACGTTGAGAAAGATTGTGTCACGTCAAGTGATGTAGTTGCCCCACTTCTGGAACAAGAGAGAATGACAATTAATGTAGAGATTAAAAAAAGATATAAAGAAGCATGGAAATAAAGGAAAATGTAATTTCTTGAAATTTTTTAATACTTTGTGGGGCAGCTGGGAACAGTCATGGGAGAAGTTAGTCCAGGACCGCTGCCGCTGCACACACGCGTCGCTCTGCCAGGTTTGATTGGTAGACATTTATAATTGGAATTATGGATTTATAATAGGGGGACTCTACATATACATATAGAGCGTACCTATTAGAAGAATTAATCTGATCTGGGTAATAATGTAAGTAATGCGAGACACGAGCGTTCAGTCATTTTATCACTGTAATCGTATAAGCGGTGATAGGATTTTTCTTTATCTCTTGTTTTTCTTAATTACTTCTCCAAAAGATTGCATATGCTTAGAAATTAAAGAGCTCACATAAACTTCAACTTCTTCAACATATTGAATTTCTATAAGCTGTCTGCGTTATCTTGTTCAATCCTTTGATTCAATACTGTCCTTGTCTAATCCTTGGCGTTGTTGTGTAATGAACGTCATGGCGAAAGTATGTAAACGCTTTATACGATACAGTATGGATGGCTGATCATTAAAAATTACTGTGTGGATGTCTGAGAGGCCCTCGTTGTTCGATTATTCGTTACTTTCTGTCACCATCTTTTACGAGGACCAAAATTGTAAGACTAAGAAGTTCATTGCTTTGTCCTTTGTCGCAGGATTGATAATCAATGATATTAGAGAAGTCAAGTGTTGAGCAACGAATAGCAGGTATCTTAAAGAGAGGATGATAATCATAATTAAAACATAAAGGTTGGCAAATAATTACAAGGAAGGATGGCGTGCCAATGCAATTTTGTAGCTTTATGGTAGATGTGGTGTTTTCATTTATCTATCTTGCCAATTTCTTGGGATACGTCGAGATCATTGGCTGTACGAATCGCATAAGTACGCATTAAGTGGTAAAGGATATAGCACGATTCAAAAGACGCATTTCAATCCCAGGAGATACCTTGAGAGAGGAGAATGGAACAGTGTTGGAGAGGACTTCTTTTAGTCACAGGTCTTATATATATATTATGTATATTTTAATTGGGACGTTATGCAGGGCTTATCTGTAGATGAAGGAAATAACGAAGCGTTATGTACCTTGTTCTAGGATAAATTGTAAGTTATTTTTTAATTCATAATAGTAGCGTGCAAAGGACTGATTGCGGTTGGTTCCTTGTTTGCTTTTTTGCTCTCGTACTTTCTTTTAGTACACTTACCAATACACTGATTAATATTTATTACTGTACTGTAATCGTGAACTAACGATAACGTTGTGATACCCTGTACTATTCGATGCAGTGTTTAATAAAAAATCTTTGTAAATGATAGAAACTTTTATATTATTACCTCTTATCGTTAATCCACCCTCTTCGATTGTAGTTTCATTGCTTCTGTAACAGGAAACATTGGACCGTGACCCGGTATGATGATATTGGCTAGGTCTAAGACATGGCTACGCATTGCTTTTTGTACTTCCTGTAGTTCGATGGTACCAAGTGCTTTCCAAATTGAGGGATCTTCGATATCCTCCTCCTTCTCAAACAAATCACCTGAAGATGTATTGATATTATTTGGAACATTTTGAGATTAATTTAATATAATTAGTGGTTATGTTCAATAGACCTGTAATTGTATAAACAAGTTTGCCATCCTTGGTTTCTACATCCACTAGGACACTGACATCCTGTGCAGTGTGACCTGGTGTTGCTATCACTGTTACACCCTCACAGAGCTTGTACTTCCCTGTAAATCTTAACAAGGTAAAATTCAAGGTACTGACTCCAATAGAAGGATAACTCACCATCTTTTATTCGTTTCTCATAAAATTTTGTTCCACTCTGAACGCATTGACCCACAATGTGTTCTGCGTTAATAAATAGATTGTTATTTCCAATGTGATCAGAATGACTATGTGTACACACAACATAATGAATATCCAGAGGATCTAAATTTTGTTTATGAAGAGCTGAAATTATAATACTTAATGTGAAAAGATGAACATTTTTTGGTATTTTACTTTTTTACCTTCAACTAGTCTCTCACGGTCCCAAGCTGTCATCGTATCAACTATAATATTTTTTTGACCTTTTATCAGAGTGCAGGAACAATTAGCGTCCATAGTTTCATCATCTAATTGTTTAGAATAGCCGTCGAATAAAACAATGACTTCATTCATTGTATACTTTGCCAAATTCTCAGCCGCCGAATGTTTAGTCAATTACAGCTGATCACAGCTTGCTCTAGGTTAAGGAGCTCAGGAGGAGCGCTTTAATAACAACTCTTTTATCAAGAATTGACAAGTCAATTGACAGGACAAGAATTCATCATGAAGTTGGTAAGTGTATTTCATGCAATAATATATTATTCATTAAATATACTTCTGGAATTTTGTGTATTGATTGTATTAATTATTTAACCTATAAACTCAAAATATGACAGAACTTATATATTTTTCTTGTTTTATCATAGTATTGCTTAAGTAGTGAACCTACTAAGCCATGTTTGGTGTTGAGTTTCAAAGGAATAACATTAATGTTAGATTGTGGATTGAATATGCAATCAATATTAAATTTTATGCCAATGCCGATGGTACCAAGTGCCAAATTTAATGCATTACCTAATTGGCTTCCAAGGGATAATCATCAAGACTGGCAAATGGAAGGGGTGCGTCCTTATACCTATCTACATCTCTAAAATGTTTTTGTCTTACAAAATTTTGAATTGTTTTAGGAATTGAAAGAGTGCTGTGGTAGAGTCTTTGTAGATGCAACTCCTGAATTTTCTCCACCTTTGGAGAAGATTGTTGATTTCTCAGAAATCGATGCAATTTTAATATCGAATTATATGTGCATGCTTGCACTGCCCTTTATCACAGAAGGTACTGGGTTCAAAGGCATTATCTTTGCTACAGAACCCACATTACAAATTGGTCGGTTCTTCATGGAGGAGCTTGTTGAATTTATAGAACAAACGCCTAGAGCAACACAGGCTCAACAGTGGAAAGAAATGCTACATGTTTTACCACCTCCGTTAGCCGATGCTTTGAAACCAAAATCCTGGAAGCAAATATACTCGATAGCTGCAGTTAACTCTGCACTGGCTAATATCCAGATGGTTGGCTATGACCAAAAATTGGTAAGTTTCAAATCTTCTAACAGGTTTCATGAATGACAATACTATTCTTCAAATTTACAGGATATATATGGTGCTTTAACAGTTACCCCTATTAGCTCTGGATACTGTCTAGGTAGTAGCAATTGGCTTATCTCATGTGACCATGAGAAAGTAGCCTTTGTCAGTGGATCTTCAACGTTAACAACACATCCAAGACCGATGGAACAGACAACTTTAAAACATGCCAACATGTTAATACTAACTGGCTTGACACAGACTCCAACAGCTAATCCAGATACCATGCTCGGAGAATTATGCATGACTGTAGGTAAGTTTGAATCAATGTAAAATTCGATTTCAAAAGTTTACAACTTGAATACTTTTTAGCTATGACTTTACGAAGTGGTGGCTGCGTTTTAATTCCATGCTATCCATCTGGCGTTGTTTATGATCTATTTGAGTGCCTGAGTACCCATCTAGACAAGTCAGGATTCACACAGGTTCCTTTGTTCTTCATATCACCCGTAGCAGAGTCATCATTAGCTTACTCAAATATATTAGCAGAATGGTAATATAATAAGATCGTAAGTACACCAATAGCAGATCTAACATATAGCATTTCAGGCTCTCCACAAATAAGCAGAACAAGGTGTATCTACCAGAAGAACCATTTCCTCACGCCTTCCTAGTTAAGAATGCAAGACTTAAACATTTTACATCAACCTATGCTGAAGGTTTCAGTACAGATTACAGACAGCCCTGTGTTGTCTTCTGTGGTCATCCTAGTCTAAGGTTTGGTGATGCCGTTCATTTTGTCCAGCTCTGGGGAAATAATCCTCAACATACAATCATTTTTACTGGTAAGTACACATTGCACTTTGGATTACCATAGAACTTAGAGTGTTCATCTTTCAGAACCTGATTTTCCCTATTTGGATGCTCTGGCACCGTTTCAGCCGCTAGCAATGAAAGCTGTACACTGTCCTATTGACACTTCCTTAAATTTTACTCAGGCGAATAAGTTGATACGCGATTTGAAACCTGAAAATCTTGTTGTTCCTGAATGTTATACACAGCCACCGATAACAGCTCCACACAGAGCGGATTTGGTTATTGAACCCGTGGGCGTGAGTCTTAGTTTATTCTAGTATAATCCATGAAATTAATCTACTACGTAACTTATGTGATATTAATTTCAGGATAAACAATTGATAACATTTAAACGTGGTGAGGTAATAAAGTTGCCTTTGAAAAGAAAAAAGGGTAGAGTCTTTATAGAGCCGGAGTTAGCCAGTAATATTATTCCTAGTGAAATAAGACCAGGTTTGAGTTTGGCATCCGTAACTGGAGAACTCGAGGTGAAGGACAACGTTTACACAATTAAGGTATTTTATTAGATGAAATATTTTTAAAAATTGCTTCCGCTGACCATTAATCCATTGCAGCCTCTCACAAAAACGGCAGATGAAAAAGCTGGTACGAAACGAAAAGCTTCCAGTGGTTCACCAGTTCCTTTGAAAGAAGATGTTCTCAAGGAACGTAAACACGAGTACGGTAATTTGGATCCGCAGGAATTACTACAGAAACTCAGCCAGGAAGGTATCCAAGGAGCAAAATTGCAACACAGTCCTACCTCGACCAGCATTCACTTGGTAAGGCAATCTTTTATCTTTCGTAATGAAAATAATATAATACAAAACTTCTCTCATCCAATAACAGCAAGATGAAGATACCTTAATTCAAATAGGAGATAATTCAACACACATCTTCTGCAATGGGGATCAGAAGCTTCGGCGACGACTCAGATTAATAATACTACAGTGTCTTAAACAATTTTAATTAAAATAAGTCTTTTTTTTAATAAAAACAAAATCAGATAGGAGTAAGGAGATTAGATTTATTCTTCATTATTCTATAAAGCAAAGGATTTACATCTTGCTACAGTTCCATACCCATTGATCATCAATTATACGTTATACTACTAACTACTGCATCTATCATAGTACTATTTAACAATACATGTTCTGGTATACAGCGGTAAAGTATTAACTGTTGTATATCTACCATACGGTTTTGTATGGGATAAAAAAAATGTATATAGTCAGACTACAATTACAAATTCATGTAAATAACAATCCATCGCTGGTCTGAGAAACGTAGTTGCTCGGGTTTTTTTTTGGTGAACGATTACTTTTAATTACTTTCCAGTACACAGTGAGAAGTCGCGTACCGCTTTATAAAACGTAGAAAACATGAACGAGTGACGGTTAGTGTCTCAAAAGCCTGTGCGGGAAGAATATCGATACCATGAAGTGACTAGGTGAGTTATTGTATTATTAACGATTTAGATTAGATTTTCACTTGCTTGATTCAAACCTATGAAGTCAAGGGTGATATCTTCGTGTAAATTGTTTCTAAACAATAGAGAACGTTAAGTAGACGCGGATTTAAAACAATAAATAAGACTAGCCAGTCGTCTCAAAGTACCATAGAAATTGCCATGAGTCAAACGCAGAAAGTACGTGGAAAATTGATCTAATTCATTTTTAAATGATTCTGCGTAACTTCGTTAATACTCAACAACAAGAAAATAAGATGACAATATTGTTTTCTCTTTTCATTATTTTTCTCTTGTCTAAAGACTAAAGATAGAGACACTAAATAATTACTGCTGCTGCGCTTTCTTTTAAGACATCGATCAAATCATCATCGAGTCTTTCACGACTGTTTCGGTGTGTCGATAGTCGGCAGCTTTCCAATATTTTGTTGAGATTCGATTACGTTACGTAAGTCTGAAAGCTTCTCCCTGGTGTAGATTAATAACCAGCCCAGCAGATTCTCTAGTTTGTCCTTGAATTCCTCCATCCTCATTTGCAATTCCTCAAGAAATTTATCATAGGTCTCTCTGGCTTTACCAGATAACTCGGTTGCGGGGAGGGGACTTTTTTCTAGAAGCTGCGCACCAGGTTTTGTCCTTGTGTCCGAAACGCAGCAGGCTATTACCTAGTTAGCTGTCGCGAAGCCAAACGCGAGTCCTGCTGCGAACGATGCCAGGAAGAAGTGAATCTCCTTTGGTCTGAATGTAGTATCACCGGTTACTGAGTGATACCAGCGTTTGGTGCGTGATTCCCCATTTTTCAATAGCTGCTCAGCCTTGTCCAGCTTCTTGTCCACGAACCTTTCCACCTGTAAGCACAGCACTTACTTGATCTCTCTTGGATAGCGGAGCGACTATCGCAAATTAAATGAATACAATGTTCACGTGGAAATGAGCTATTATTAAAGTCAAAAAATCGACTCAGTTGCGTAGAGATTTTAAAGTATAATTTATAGAATATTCATTTTACTGTTAAGTGGAAAAGTTTGTGGGACAAAAAAGATAATATAGGAAAGTCTTATTGTTATATCTAATAGAGACTAAAGTGTACATGCTGCATGGCGAAAAGACAAAAAACATATTTTGTAATACAGAATTTATTGGTGGTACGATGGCTTCTTATAATGGATAATCAAATACTTTGAGATTGAGGTACCTGAGCAACTTTGTTCCAGTACCATATATACTTTGATATAGTAAGTTAGGCAAGGATTAAGCGTATATGTATCTAAATGTACTGCATAACTCGAATATCACGTAGTAACTAAATTCTTAAAGAAACGCGAAATAAAGAATATTAAAATATTTCGAGAATCTTATTATTCTAACGACAGAAAAGTTCTTAAAGAATTTAGAACTTAAAAGATATTCAAATGCTGTGGTACATAATTTGTATAATCTGGATTTTTGTACAGTTTAAAGGGACATTCGACTGTTCTGTAATTATCGGGCATTTGTTAGATCTCTGAGTTACAATTATTTTAGCTCGAGGCAAGGCCGAGTATGAAACCACCAACGAAACTCGTCGCCACAAATGAATTCTTCCGCCACCATTTTCCGGCCTGAAAATAATAGGAAAAAAACTCCTTTCAGCAAATACCCAGAAGTCCCAGCAAGTCTGTCCATTTTGTTCTCTTGAATTCAACATTGTCAGTAAGCACTTGCATAAAAGAGTATAGAAGCCAAAAGCTTTTGTTCAGAAACAATAAGTATAATTAATCCAGAATTATTTAATTGCAAAGTTTGTAATAAGTGCTTTACAATATTATAGAAATGTTCTACCTTATCCATGAACTTTGGTCCTTCACCAGTGACCTTCTCTTCGACCTTATCGGTGAGCTTCTCAGCTTTCTTCTGAATCTTGTCCCAATTAATGTTGATGTATCCCTGATGAGCCGCAACCTGAAGAATTATTATTCCACCACCAAGTGCGAAAGCTGCAACCTTCCCTACTTTCATTGTTAAGAATCCCGTCATCCTAGGCAACAGCAATTGAACAGAGTCAATGGTTTGACCACAATAAAATTACAAATAGCACAGGTATTACCGGCAAAGAATTCTCCACGATTTTGCAAAGATCCTCCAAGAGAAATCACAAAGATAATCATCCATGGTTCCACAAGGAACAATACTCGAGGGCCTTCATCGCTATACTAATTAGTTCAGTACAATTAGTGTACTGCCTACTACTTAACATGATTGAGAGAGCCAAGAAATTATTGCACTGAGAGTAGACTAGAATCTTTTTGCTATGCATGTATATATGTATAATGATACTGGGAATAGCTATGACAGGGTATACATCTTGATTTCCTTTCCCGTTACGCCGTTGTCACTACTGTTCAATAAATATACATACCATCCTGATGTTGTGCCAAGGATGATCTGTTTTGTAGCTGATGTCTTGCTGACATCACCAAGAATCTTCTCTATGATGCTCTTAGCCTCCTTAGATACATTTAAATCATAGTTTCCCTCATTGATGTTGTCCTTACCCCTTTTTGCAACAGGAAGACTCATCTTTTCGCTATAGTAAAAAAAAATATAGTTAATCTTAGATTATAGAATCTATTTAATCTCAAACAGATAAGACAATCAATGAGTTATTTAAAGCTCCATCTACACAGTGTTTAAAAACAAATAAAATGTAATAATATACAAAGTGCAAATACAAGAAACAGAACACTTGAGAGACAAATATTTAATTTAGAAATCAAAGTATAATTTGTATATATTATGTGCTATTAAACATTTAGTATCTAATTCATTGCAGCTATAGTACATAATATTTGAGTACAATTGTTTATAATTGCAACTTATAACAGATCAATGAAAAACAAGGCTCGCAACAGCGTTCCAAAACGATTCAGTAAGACGTAGAAAATAAAGATGATGACATTATTACCACTAAGTATCAAGATCTTGTATTTGCCCCAAGTTCCTGTAAATTCCGGTACTAAAACCTATCTGCGTTTAGTTGCAACTGAGAAAGGAATTAGCGTGGTCATCGCGTAGGATTAGAAATAGACGCCAAAAGAAATAAAATACATATAATGCAAAATACCGTTCAAGTAAATTTTGAAGCTCACGACGATACGGCATTTTCTCTTGCTCGTTACTATTTCCCGAAAAAGGCGTGCCGTGGAATTATATAATGATTTAATGACTGTGTTCACTGTAATCATTATTAAATGATAAGTCTTACCTGATACACCTGAAATCAGCAATAAAAACGAATTAATTGATCCGTTTTAAGACCCACAATATGACAGATCGCACCTGACAAGATGGTCTCTGCGATGGTCACCGAGACTCCTGAACACTGGACGGGAATGGACGGAACTTTATTATTGTTATGTCAAGGAAATGTCTATTACCAGAGAACATATATTACATGGAAGTACATGCCTTATGGGAGGATTTGGCACGAAACGCTGGGCTGATCGGTTAGTGATCACCCCAGCCACTGCGAGCGCTGCTGGTATCGATGTGAACGAACACACCGATAAATGACTAGCTCCGCCTCTTGCTATGATCGCGCGTCTTTTTCCATTCATCGCTTAGATTTTTTTGATGACCCGTTCAAGATCGCGGTTTTGCCGGTTTTGTGCTTATAACTTTTTGAATAATGCACTAAATTAGATTTGGTTTTTTCAAAATTTTCATTTTTAAGGTACTTTAAAAGAAAATACGACAAATTTTTTCAAAATATTTTTATAATGAAGAAAAATAGTAATTATAAAGATCCCACGATCAGACTGGGCTTAAAAGTTGTTCAATGGATAGTAATTTGTGATCACTCACTTTAAAAAAAAAGATTTAAAGTTTAAAACTTAAAAATCACATGTAAAAATATTCTGAAAACATATTTTGTATTTAAAAAAAAATATATATATACAAACTGTAACTCCTATAGCGAACCTTCTCCTTGTCAGGCGCATAGATAAGCGAGAACGCACCATCATTCCAAACATTAGAAATGCGTTAATCGAGTGAGTACGCACTATCACGTCCAACATTAGTAGCACGTGAATGTAAGGAAGAGATCATGATAAGCTGTGAGCATGAGTGCGAGGGAGTCGACCGCAAGAGGTGTGGCTTCATACTCTTTCCATGTGTGTGGCACACTGATAAACCTCTGCGCCATCTACCGGGGAGAAGTGAAATTATTTTTTCTCTGCTAAATGTTGACGCGGGACCTATGCTTTCATGTAATATATGTTCTCTGCCTTTATCACGTTCTAATACTTTTCTCAGTATGTAAAAACGATTAAATAATTGTTATAAAATTCACATGCTCGTTCGATTACAACAAATTTTATTATGAATACAAGTTGGTCACATACAACGGAGGCATTAAAACAACTTATCGATTGTCTATCCTGCTCAAAGTGGTTAGAATTTTCATTAACTTATTGTTAGAAATTGTCGTCTAGAACTTTTTAAAATTGGTATGCATCGCTTTAATATTAACGCTTAATAAATTTAGTTATTCTTATGTCAACTGTTGACGACATATTAAATGAGTAATAAATATTATTCTGCACTTTTTTTTATGTTGCCTATATTGAAGATGTCAAATAATATGTCATTTTCTTTATCTTGTTTAGCAAAAATAAATCTATTTCACCAGTCAGATATCTCACTTGTGGCCATTGGTATTGCCCAGCTTGTGTTGATTCAGCTACGTCTTGCTTCAAGTGCAATGTTCCTGTTCAACCAAATGAAATACAGCCTGCACATACCATTGCAACACTTATGCAGTGTTGTAATACAATTTCACAAATAATTGGACAAGTGTAAGAGTTTTTATAAGAATGACTTTCAGTTTTATTGTTAAGAGTATTTGATTTTACAGAGATCCACAAAGCAATGTTTCTGATACTGTTGAATTATCATCGAAACCAGCCTTGCCAACAACATCAAATTCTCAATGGCCTTTTAGGAGAAAACATACTATTGTTGCTGCAAAAACTATTCCTAAGAATATAAATAAACGTAATATGAAAGGGGAAACATCATTGCATACTGCATGTGTGAAGGTAACATTTATTGAAGATCTTTATAATAGTATGGTTGTTTAATTGTACATCTTTTTTATTTTACAGGGTGACACTGAGTATGTAAAGCTACTGATAGACGCTGGTGCAAATCCCAACACTAAAGATAATGCTGGTTGGACACCCTTGGTAACATTATAACCAGTTTAATAAAATTGTATAAGCAGAACAGATACATGTATGCTTAATGCAATCTTATATAAAATTTGTTAATTTTAGCAAGAAGCTATGGCAAATGGTTATTACGATATATGTGAACTAATTTTGAAAGCTGGTGCTGCACCTGATACTCCTGGACTAAAGAACAAAACAGCATTACATGAAGCTGTATTGAATAATGACTGTGATAGCGTAAAACTCTTAATGAGTTATCATGCAAATCCAAATGTTTTTGATGAGTTTGGTAAAAGACCATTGTAAGTGAGAGATAAATCTATTTGATTTTCTTTTTAATACGAATGAAATAATTTATTTCTGTGCAGAGATTATTGCTGGTCAAATGAAGTTCGTGATATATTACAAGAAGGAGAGGCACCAGAAGAAAGTTTTGATAAATTGCAAAATCTTAATAGGACATTGGATCCATCGATTTCTTTATTAAATGACCAATTCGTCGTATATCCATCAAATTTGAATAGTGATAGTCGAAAATTGTTACATCAACTTGCATCAAAGCATAACGTGAAAATTGTATCTAATCTCAGGTATAGTAATTATGTGCACTAAATTGTCCATAAAACATGTATGTAGTTTTTGACAATTGATAATAACATATGATTTCTTTTACTAGTCCTTCTGTCACTCATATTATAGTGGATGTAAATGAACATGGAATTACGATATTAACTTATGATGTTCTGTTTGGAATATTATCTGGCAAATGGATTGTGGACAGTCAATGTGAGTTGAAGTTATTTTCAAGTTTGTTGTTCAACAATAACACTCAGTATTATATCGCGTGTGGTTCTAGACAATACATTTCCCATTTCAGTTATTAGACCTAGTTTGGATATAGAAGACTTAAACGCTATGGATATGGCATTATTCGAAGATATTGGTGCTCCGAATATAGGCTCCTTCAAACGCGCACGAGAAAATTCAAACAAGCAGGTATATCGTCAAATGCAATTCAATATTACAGATAATATAATTCATCAAAGTATGTCAGTAATAAAATTGATGATGGAGACTTGTTGAAATCAAAAGTGATAATTATTTCTATATTTGCAGAAACCTCGACTTTTTAATGGCTGTTATTTCTATTTGGCTTTGAATCCAATGGACACATATACAATAGGCGATCTAAAATTGACAAAACAAGAACTGAAATCTTTGATTATAGCTGGAGAGGGTCGTGTCCTGCAGCGAGAACCAAAACCTGAAAATATAAATGCAACTACCAAATGCATTCCATTTCACGTGGCAGCAGATAAACTTCATCCACTTTATAATTGCTCCCATTATATAATTTACGTACCTATACAAGAACCACGTTTCAAGTATAATATGCCTGAAATGAAGACTCTTCCATTAACTTGGTTAATCGAATGTATAGAAAAGTTTAAGCTTATTGACCCAGCTGAATTAGGGCTGTCATAAATCCGTCTCAACAGCATCACAATGAACTTCTATACTATTTCGAATGTACGAAATTAAAACTCATACGATTATACGATTAAGACGAATTCCAGATGAATAAAAGCAGAACTGAAAGTTATTAATTCGTGAAATCCTAAATCCGGATGCGAGAATTATTCATCAAAGAAATTTATTAATCCCATTGAAGCTCTCCGCTTGTTCATTGGCAGCCATCTATCAAGTTTCTCAAAGAAAAAGTAAAAATTTTCTCAAGCTCTTATGACTCAATGGACATATACTATCATTACGTAAGAATCGGAATAAATTGAAGAAGAATATCCTGGGTGTTCCGTACGGTATCAGACACATTTATGGCAGAAGTACCGCTAGTTGCGCACACGTGTATGGAGTATGACGAAGATAAATAAGGACAAGAAGACGTCAAAGCATCAATGCTGAAACGAAGATGAGAAAGCGAGAAGAAAAGAGGAAGAGTGTGAATCACATAGAGCAAGTGGCGAGTTTCAGACGGGTAAGAATTCTATAGGACGATAGGATCTCAATAGTATAGTGGTAGGGATAGGCCCAGAAGAGGTAGAACGTATATATACAGCCAAGAGGAATAAGATGAGGAATCAAAAGAGATAACGAGGATGAGATTGTACAGTAAAAAGAGATAGACAAGTATAGAAAATGTTGAGTGAAGATGAGTAAAAGATAAAGGCTAAGAAGTGAGATAGAGATATACATATATACATACTATAGATATATATAGAGGGGGTAAGTTCCACTCTTTGAAACGTCATTCACTGTTTCCGTCTTACAGGTCTTCTTGGCTTCCTTCGTTGCCGTACGTCCGTCCTTCTTTCCATGCGGGGTCCGGACTGGCCCGCACCCCGTGACCCACAAGTGGGCCTACAGTCAGTCAGGCGATGAGGCCCGGCACGATTAGGGCCGCCAAGCTCATGCTAAAGTGACACGTGCGTGTGTGAATACGGCGAATTGGATTGTTTCTCGTGGAAGATTCGTAAGACGACAAACCCAGGATGCGAATCCGTCGTCCTTTGGGGCCTCTCGTCCTTTTTTGGGCCTTCGTCACGGTCCGAGCACAGGATGATGACTCCTTGGCCGGCAGTTTTATTTCAGGTAACAATCAATAAATTTATACTCTTTTCTTTTCTCTCACACAACAGATATCAAACACTGATTAATTATTTGTATCATCAAAATATTAAAATATATCCATACTCACTGAAAATTTACTAATGGCTTTAATTTAGAAAAAATTCTGTAAAATTATCTCAATTAAAATCCCTTGTAATTCCGTTGAAAAGCTGTTGCAATTTGTTGCATAGGTTTATTTTTCATCGTTATCAGTTCTCATTAATTGTTAATTCGATTGGAAATTTCAAACTGGAATAGGTCTCTTTTACGAGTTTAAAGATTCATATGACAAACATTATTTTAAGTGTACTTTTGTTTAATTTGTTATATTATAGAGAAGCCATTAGCGCCATGATAGAGTTTCGTTGTTATCGCCTTTTAGGATGATTCGAGAAATAGAAATTTACGTTGCAAGCATCGTACGTAAACGTACTACCTGCTCGCATAGGTGGAATCTTGGAGGATACCAAGTGTCCCACTTAGGTGCGTATAGCGCTACGCGGATGGTTGCCCTGTAACAAGGCCGCATCACACGCTGCTCAAAACTACGCAACGGTATAAACTAATAACTCGCCGGAATTGCAGGGAATTGCGGAAGCGCGACAACGCGGCCACCCTAGAAGGAAAAATATGATGAGCGCATTAATGGCACAGGCATCACCATTGAAAAAAAAAAATAGAAAAGAGGAGAACCGCACGCGGAATCTTTTCTTGTTCTCGCGTGCTCTTCGTCAGTTGCGTTTCTTATGGAAGCAACTCGTTTAGGAACTCTGCGACCTGATTTGGTTTTTTTTTCCAACTTCATACACGTTGAATGCAGTTCAAATCTAAACGAAATTTCAACTCGTCAATGAAATCTTCATTTGCAATTATTTATTTGACATAAATGTCAGTCATAAAACTTTTAAATTCTCTGGGCCTTTCAATTTCATTAAAGCATTTGTATATCCGCGATTTTTGTATTTTTATCTCTTACATTTTCATTTGTTTAACAACATTTCAAAATGTTACCTTAAATCATTTGCATTGTCTTTTTCATTTGTAATATCGACCAATGCATTTTTAAATCTCTCATAAAAGAATCTTCATAGATAATTTTTTTTTTCTTGGTTGAATAGATTAGACAGGATACTTATGTATTATATGTGTGAGTTGGGTCGACCTCTAGTAATCCAACCTGCGCATTAACTACCGTTATGTTTGTTTGGGCCGTTATGCCTGCCAAAGTGAAAACCGACCGGTTCTATATATTCACAGGGCGAATACGTTGATAGCTAAAATTGCGTCAAATTAAAGTTTGAATAAGAATGTTGATTATGCAGTGAGTTTTCATATGTAACAGGCTTATATGTGCATATGTAGTAACCATAAAGTATGCCGTTACGTTGGGCTGCTTATAAAATATGTATATGTGTAATGTCAAGGACAATGGAATTGAACATATATGTTGAATTTTTAAAAAAATGTTGAAACAACCAATTATACATATATTTTTTAATTAACAATAGATAAATTATATTAGTGGATACTACAGAAAATTCAACTTTTACTTCCTTAATTTAATATTTGTACGATGTTGTAAGGTCAGTCAACTTACAGGTTCAAGGACTGTTCAAGATCGAGTTTAAGTCATGCTAGACCATTTATATACGTGTTGGATTATGTATGCAGGAATTCCTGTCTTTCGGTATTTATATACAGTTACAGAACATAATGACCCAGTGGTGGGGGCAGGACTCTACGAATACACCTGGCCATCTACTCAAAGTCAGGGTCATCCGTAGAAATTTTTATTTCATCAATAAAATTTTTATTTTGCTCAAACTAACGTGTGTTGCAATATTTAAATTGAATGTCTAGTGGTTGTTAACGATTTGCATATAAATAAATACAATACTATTGTAGAAGGTTTCTCTTATTATACATTATTATTAAATTCTATTGTTAAAAATATTGTCATCACATAATGAATGGTTTGATTATTTGAAATCTGTAATTGATTAATTTCTTCCAGGGCTTTTGGATACCATAACCAGTACAGCTAATAGCGCTGATTGTCCTGGAGTTTGCGTGCACGCGCTTGCTACAATAATATGCTTCGAAGTCCTGGAGGATGTACAATGTCCCACTGCAAGTATGAGATGCTGCGTGGACCAACCTTCGAACAGCACAGAAACCACGGAATACGCCACCGAAAATGATACCGCCGTGACAAACATTAGAAACCCAACAACAACAACTGAAACAACATTTATAACGTCTACTACGACACCCTCGACAACGACTGCAATTGCAACGGTATCCACTAGCATAAAATCAACCACGGTAAATATAAAACTTGCTTGCATATTGTAAAATAATATTGTTTCAGGGATTAAGTTTATCCTATCTTTAAGTGACTTTTAAAATCGTATGCATAAGTATAAATATGATATAGAACATTTTATTCTGTTGTTACAGCAAAATCAAAAGGAAACCAAGGATAAACAGTCAGGTGAATTAGTATATCTATAATGAATTTTACAATTGTTCTGCTCTCAGTCCTTTAACAATTATTTTGTTCCTTTGCAGCTAAAACTTGTTCTGGAATTTGTATGGCTGAGCGTCTTGCCGATTACTGTGACGCAGTGCTGATGATCAACTCCATATGTAATCCAGGTTTCCGTTGTTGCGTTTCAAGAGACACTTACGGGAACACACCACCACCAGAGTTGATGGTCATTGACAGGACAAAGTCAAACTCCTCACGTATCACCGAAAAGAATACAACATCTCCTAGCAGAACAACGACAACGACTCCTCGACCTACTACGACTACCACGAGCAATGCTCCACCGACGACGCATTCCAGACCGAAACCTGCAAATCGTCGGCCATGCAAAGGAGAATGTACAAACGGATTTTTCGCATTGTTGTGCGACGGCATTGACAAGGATGCCGATTGTCCAGACGGCAGTTTATGCTGTGTCAGTGGTGCTTCAGATGAAACGGTATGTAGTTTTATTTAACAACGATTTTATTCGGTTTAAAAAAAAAGTAATGGAGCTTGTCAATTTATCGTTTAGGAAGTAGAAACGACAATACGGCCGACGACAAAGGCTCCGCAAACAAAACCACCGCAAGCTAAGCTTCCTGTTTGTCCAGGTTTTTGTCTTCTTACAATAATGTCAACTTTTTGCGAACGTCCTAACGTGATCATCGCCAAAACCTCTACCTGTCAGTCCGGTTCGATATGCTGTGACAACACTAAGAGTCCGCCTCCGGTACTTTAGATTTTTATTGTTATTTCTATAGATTTAATTAGAGATGTTGAATTTTATAATTGATTTATAAATTTCTACAGCCACCTAGACCACGACCCAGACCAACACCTTCTAGACCGGCAGCAACAACGGTTTCTCTACCTCCGGATCCTCGACCGGAATGTCCAGGATCTTGCATCGTATCTTACTTGTCTTTTACTTGTTTCAGTAAGTAATGCAGTAATGAAAGAAGTGTATATATATATGTATATATCGTTTTGTAAAACAATTATGGATATAACGGATTTTTTGTTTCAGGAAACGCTGAACTTACCAATCTGTTCAAGTGTAAGAAATTAGGACATCAGTGTTGTGCACCGAAATCGCTCATCAGAGAATTTCACAGTGGAAACTCAAGTGAACCGGTTCTGAGCAATAGAAATGACACATTCCCGGTCGTTAGTCAGAGGCCGTACACTACTCCATTACCAAGCACAGTCTGTAAGTATTTACATACGTCACTTCCGGAGTACATTCTTATTTTATATGTAAATTTCATGTCCTAAATTCTTTTCCAAAGATGAGACCACAACCTTGCCAACGACTACAACCACCAGGAGTCCTGTTTACAGTAAATACGTATGCGGCGTTAAGGGAACATCGCGGGGGCCAATTCAGGCCCGTAGCTCCGAACGAGGGGCCCGTGTTGTAGGCGGTGAAGACGCAGATGCTAATGAATGGTGTTGGCAGGTCGCATTAATTAATTCTCTTAATCAATACTTGTGTGGTGGCGCTCTAATTGGCACACAATGGGTTCTAACGGCAGCTCACTGCGTTACAAAGTAAGTCTATAATATATATCCGCATGTCCATGTTTATACGCAAACATTTAAATAGGATTGATTTTTATTGATCTTTTAATTAAATTATGGAATCTAATCATGTATCGTCTTCGATCTCATCTACACAGTATCGTAAGGTCAGGCGATGCGATATACGTGAGAGTAGGAGATCACGATCTGACCCGGAAGTATGGAAGTCCTGGAGCGCAGACATTGCGCGTTGCGACCACCTACATTCATCACAATCATAACAGTCAGACCCTGGACAATGACATTGCGCTCCTTAAACTTCACGGCCAGGCAGAACTCAGGGATGGCGTCTGTCTTGTTTGCCTTCCTGCCAGAGGAGTCAGTCACACTGCTGGCAAACGTTGTACCGTTACTGGATACGGATACATGGGAGAAGGTATGTGCCAAATTTAATGCACGACAGGTAATACACTTCAATCTCATGTAAATTATTGAGTTTATTTACAACTGAGTAAATTACTGAGCTTCCTTCAAGCATTCTACTGCCTTTATCTTAAATACAGCTGGTCCCATTCCACTTCGAGTGCGAGAGGCTGAAATTCCTATTGTCAGCGACGCCGAGTGCATCAGGAAAGTTAATGCAGTTACTGAAAAAATCTTCATTTTGCCTGCTAGTAGTTTCTGCGCAGGTGGCGAGCAAGGCAACGATGCATGTCAGGTAAGTTCTTGTGATATATAATGGATTGTGTTCATTGTTCAATTTTATTAAATGCAACTGTTAAAGTTTGCTGTTTTATGATATTCCTAATTGATTTTATTGCAGGGCGATGGAGGTGGTCCTCTTGTCTGTCAAGATGATGGCTTTTATGAATTGGCTGGTCTGGTTTCTTGGGGTTTCGGTTGCGGACGGGTGGATGTACCTGGTGTCTACGTTAAAGTCTCTGCATTTATCGGTTGGATCAACCAAATCATATCTGTAAACAATCTCTAATGTCACTATCTATTATCACGTACACTGTCATGCACTTTATTTATTATATTTATTATAACTGTCGCATCTTGATGAGGATATCGAAAGGAATGCTCTAAATTTTCATATATAAAAAATGTTGAATCTTACGACTGAAGGAAAAAAATTGACTTCATGAAGGTATTCAAAATATTGTATTTCATAGGGAAAACATTCATTATTTTATTATTCATTAAATATATTCCATTATCGTCACTGTGAGACAGCGTGTTGAAATCTATAATTTGTTGTTAATGATGAAGAAATAACAAACAGCGTTTGTAGTAGATATAATTATAGTCATAGTAGCTACTATCATGAATTGATATAACTATAGTAGCTATGCGATTAAAAGATTCTTTAACTTTTTGGAACTTTTCTGTTGCTCCTCCAACAGTGATTCCATTCTGCGTAGATATTTTTATTTCGAAATAGTAAATTTCGATAACGGATTTCTTCGGGAATCAAAAAACTGGATTCCGTCAATTGAATATATAGCGTTAATATTGTTAATATTAAATAATTAAGTATTACGTATATAGAAATTTCTACGTACTAAGATTAATTTTTAAATATTTATTATCTTATTGAGTTGCAACCGCAAAATTGATGAAGTTATATCTATTTCTGATTTTAATAATCCTCAACAGTATTTTTTATAAGAACGTCCACATCTAACGATTATGGATAAACAACGACTCGCTTTGTATAATATTGCATTGTTTCTACAAAGTATTTGATGTATTTTCTTTTTTTTTTAAATCGTGAGATTCCTTTTTTTTTATTAATAAAATGTTGAGAATTGTAAATTGCAATGTCAAATGTAGCTGTATAGAAAATTTAAATGTGTTTAATTAATTTATTATAATATTGTACAAGATTTATGATTTCATTGCATGTCATTTTTGTATGTTTTGTACGTGCCTTGGATACAATAAGAAAAATTCTTTACAAACTAGACGTCACTGAGACAATGTTTATGACGTCTTATATGCGAATCATAAAACTATTGGACATTGGTTCAAGTATTCAGCTGAAATTGATCAATCTTCATTCTCCAAGATTTAACTATTTATTAAGTTAATTAGTCTAAATTTTATAATCTACTGCCAATCAGTTCTTTGGCTCCAAATGCTGTAGTGCATCCCTAGTAGATTTGACTTCACTGTAAAACAAAATTTGTATCAAGTCGATTTTCCATATCGATTGGACAAGTATCACGACTGTTATCTTTATTGATTCATAACTGACATTTGCTTTATAAAGCGACAGAACAATAGCGAATTTAATAAATTAATAATTATTTTTGAAAACATTTAGGTCATTGCTCTGAAGAGTGACAGTTATGGATTTGTCCAATGAACAGTGTTTCCTTTAAAAAGTCTTGTATCCCATTGGCTGAATTCACAGTTATGCGCGTTCAAATGTTCGATTGGAAGCTGACGCCTACATAATTTAAACACTTTGTGAACGCAGCACCCCTAGCGGCAGTTAGATGATTTACAAAATTTAAACGTTCAACGGAAAGTTTGATGAAGTTGGGCGCTTGTGGGGTAGTGCGTGTTAACGCGAGCTCTTTGTTTGTGAAGAAAGTTAAATTTATTACTGAAAATTAAAATATATATACACGATTAAGTTTTCATGATGATGAACAACACGCGTAGCTCCAAAAAGGAAAAGAATCAGCATATTCAAGTTTTTGTGAGAGTCAGGTACGCTATACAATCTTATTATTTATAGAAGCTTCAACGTAACAGGACATTATTTCTCACATATATTAATAATAATAGTGTAGAAAGTTATTGGAATAATGTTATATATTATTTTATTTAATGACGCTGTTGTTATTATTAATTTTAATTAAAATTTGTAATTGTGAGATGCTTTTTGATAAAGATAACAATGGCAGGGTGGGTGGAGGGGAAACATAAATCATATTTTATTAACAATTTTGATTTGTGAAATATAGTTAGAGCTTTGATTTATAATAGAGTAAATTAAAAATTAATCACAGGAATAAAAAGGATGAATTAACGTAATATCATTATTATTTATCGTTTTTTAGGCCACCAAACAATGCAGAAAAAACAGGTAAATCATCAACTGTTGTCGATGTTGCATCCAGTAAAGAGGTATTTGTTCGAGAGCGTCCACAGGATAATATTTCCAAAAAATTCACATTTGATAAAGTATTTGGACCATCTTCGCAACAGGTAACTCAAATTGTTTATGAATTGAAAACTGTGTAAATATAAAATTTAATAAATATCTAACATTAATTGCAGCTTGAAGTTTACAATGCAGTCGTCAATCCATTATTGGAAGAAGTTTTGGCTGGTTACAATTGTACGGTCTTTGCTTATGGGCAAACTGGGACTGGAAAAACCTTTACTATGGAAGGATTATCCAATGATTCCAACATGGACTGGCGAACGGTAAGATATTTCAAAGTCTCAGCTTTCTGTGTCTAGGTTGTCTTGAATCTTTAAACAGATTATTGATTGATCTACTTCCAATGTAGAAGTTATGCGGTTCAATGTCTTAGATGTAATAATTGAAAGTAACTTGTTTCTCATTTTCCATATGTAGAACAGTGATTCAGGTATCATCCCACGTTCTTTGAGTCATTTATTTGATGAACTGCGATTATTGGATGCACAAGAGTATACGGTGCGAGTTAGTTTTCTTGAATTGTACAATGAGGAACTTTTTGATTTACTCTCCCCAAATGATGATGCATCGAAAATAAGGTACGTGTAGTAGAGCTGTTATTAATGTTTCCTTAAAATACATACAATAATTATAATATATAATTAATATCATTAATATTTTACAGATTGTATGAGGATGCGACCAGAAAAGGCGCGGTGATTATTCACGGTTTGGAAGAAGTAACGGTGCACAATAAAGCTGAAGTTTATAAAATCCTGGAAAAAGGATCTGAGAAGAGGCAAACGGCAGCTACTTTAATGAATGCACATTCCAGGTAATCATTGAGTCGCATTATTTATTTATGGTATTAAAATGAAGTAGTCTAACAATTTTCTTTTTCATAGCCGATCCCATACAGTGTTTTCAATTACCGTACACATAAAAGAAAATACAGTGGATGGTGAGGAGCTTCTAAAAACAGGAAAATTAAATCTAGTTGATCTAGCTGGAAGCGAAAATGTTGGGAGATCCGGTGCAGTGGATCGAAGAGCACGAGAAGCTGGGAGTATTAATCAATCATTACTGACGTTGGGTCGCGTGATAACATCTCTTGTTGAACGAGCGCCTCATATACCATATCGGTAATTTTATTTAATAAAATAATTCAATTTTTATTCAGCAATGTTTTTCTATAATTTCGTATTATTTTATTCTTCAGAGAATCAAAGTTGACACGTCTTCTACAAGAATCTCTGGGTGGCAGAACGAAAACTTCTATAATCGCCACAATTTCTCCATCGAGTATTAACTTGGAAGAGACACTGTCTACGTTGGACTATGCATACCGCGCGAAAAACATAACGAACCGACCTGAAATCAACCAGAAGCTCTCGAAGAAGGCTTTGCTTAAGGAGTATACGGAGGAGATTGAACGGTTGAGACGTGATTTGATGGCCACTCGTGATCGAAGTGGAGTCTATTTGGCACCTGAAAATTACAAAGAGATCCAGATGCAGATCGAATTGCAGGGCCAGGAGATTGAAGAAAAGCTTAATCATATAAAGGCTCTAGAAGAAGCGATGCAGAAGAAAGAGGTAGGTGTATTTATTTTATCTTTGTTATTAAACATATATTTTATAATAGTGAATGTTTCTGGTGTAGGAAGTATTTCGCGATTTAGAATCGGAGTACACTGCTCAGAGTAATACATTGCATGAAACGAAAAGTGTTCTTGAGAGGACTCAAGTCGTTTTGCAATCGACTGAGGAGAATTTAAAGAAAACTCAGGAGGAAAGGGACGAGCATAAATATTTAGTGGAGAAACATGCGTCTACGGAAAAAATTCTTTACTCGCAAGCTGAGAAACTGTTAAATGTTGCGGACACTGCTACTACTGATACACATAAACTTCACGAAAAGATTATGCGAAAAAAGTGAGTTCCTCCAAGCATTTTGTGTATTATTCCGTTGTGTAATTCTTGTCTTACAATTATTTACGTCTATGTAGGCAAGTCGAGGAGGAAAATGAACATCTCGGACAAAAGTTTAGGAATGATATTCGAGATCGTTTCGAAAATTTAGAGAAAGACTTATCTTCTCATAATCAGGAAACCTTGAAATTTGCTGAAGAAGCCAAAGATCATCTCGGTGAGAATAATACAAATGATAGCGAGATGTAATTCCATTTGAATTGTAGTAATTGGATTCGATTTTCATACTTTTCTCTTATTCCCAGCTACTCATCAAGCCAAACAAAATGCGCGAATTGACGTTTCTGTGAGACTCATGGCCAGAGATCTTGCCAAGGATGTATGTAACATTGCAAATGAACTTGCAGGAAATGTAAATACTTCGGTACGTAATCAGACAATTCTTTCCTTTAATTTAGTTGTTGAGTAATTTCTTACGTGCGTGTTATCAAATTTTCTTTTAGAATGAAACGTGCCAGATATTATTGGATCAGAATATGCAAAATATTTCCTCAATGACAGACTGTGAGGTGAATACTCTTGGACAAATTTCTGAAGCCTTAACAGAGAAAATTTATAAAGTTTTTAACATTAAAATTTCGGAAGAGATGAGTCATTCGTATGATGAAATGAAAAGACATTTAAACAATTTATCCAGTCATTTGACTGAATCTAGACAACAAATATGCCAGCTTGTACTCAGGGATCGTGATTACTTGGTGCAAAAGTTTAATGAAATTAATAGAAATATACAGATCCTCTGTGAAATACATACCAAAAGTGACCGGGAAGATGAAGCTCTTGATGAGGTTTGTAACAATATTATATTAATATCTTTTGAATATAAACTTTAATTTATTCAAATTATATTCCTTGGATAAATGTCTTTTGTCAGTCTGTCACTTTATATTCTGTCGTCATATCCTTTTTCAGGCGTTTCAATATGCCATTGAACAGTTTAATGACTGGAAGAGAAAGAGAGCAGAGCATCACAACAACAGATTATCCTCATTAAACCAAATTGCTGCTATGGCAGTTAAAGCTGTTACTGAGGATTCTTTACGTCATTACAACGAACATATGGATAAAGAGATGAATTTCAAAGAATATTCAACTAATAAGATAGCTGAGGTTCAAAATACATTAGCATCTTGTTCGGTCAAAGTAAGTAAATAAAACGTTGCATTAAATCAGTATACTTTTCACCTGTTTCCTTTCAAGCAAGATTGAATTTCTGTATTTAATCGCTCTTGTTCAATTTTCCTTGCAGAATTTAGAGCTAAGTAAAACTGCTGTCGAGCAAAGTGGTTTACTTATTAATCAGTTGCAATCCAACTTAAGTAAGTGTGGCGATGCTTGGCTACAGCAAAAAAATCAAATAGAAAATAAAACTAAAGAAATACAACAAGTGACAAGTGATCTCAAGACTACGTGTTTATCTTCAGTACAAGTAAGAAATTTTGAAACCCTTTGCAACTCTAATCATCACGTAGTACGAATCAATATTAAAAAGTATAAATGTACAATTATATTTTATGAAAGGATCTACAAAAAGTCATTTCTGATGGATGCGTCAATCATGAGGAACTAATGGAAGAGATTCGAACAAAAGCCAACGTTTCAAGTGCGGAATTGCGTCATAAAATGGATAACTATATCGTAAAAGCATCTGACTCTAACAACATGATTATTTCGGACCTTCATATGGCGCATCATCAAGTCGAGAAATTTATCTTAGAAGATTTACGTCGTGATGAACCTACAGGTGGGCTTTGTGATATTATAAAGAATAATTATTTTAGTAACGAGCATTCAAGAATTATTAACTACATACATAATGTAATTACAGGTTGCACACCCGTGCGAAGGGAATTTCAGTATCCAAGAAAACTGGTAACTACGTCTCCTCACGAACGTATAATCCTAAGGTTTCGAGAAGCTAGGAAATGCGTCGATTCGACTGAAGATTCAGTCAGTGTTATAATTCCGTTCTTAATTATCCATGATTTGCAGACAAAGATTGTATTACGATTTATGATTTTTTTTACAAATTGTAATTTTCAGGAAGTAACAGTACTGAACGTGGACGACACCATAACTGAAGAACACTACCTCTCTGAGAGAGAAAGTCGGAGTATTTCTGTGTCTCCACCAGTAATCACAAAATCACATTCAACTTCAACACCGTGTAGCATGGCGAACAATAATTCGACATGCAGGAATGAATTTAATTATGGCTTAATCAAAGCTGCCTCAACCTCAGATCTTTCTACGCTAGAAAGATCCTGCAGTGAGACGATCACGCATTCGGAATCTGAAACATCGTTTAAGGTTTGTTCTTAACTTTAGTATGGTACTGCCTTTGTTTTAGAGTAATTTATGTAATTTTTTTATATTCATATTCGCAGAGCACAAACAAAGAAAATGGGAGTAATGAATTTGTTAAGCCAGATAAGATAAAGCGATTATCTCGGCTAAGAACAGCTAATCGACGGGTACTTGGTAGTTTTAATAATTAACTTTTAATCACTTTATTCGGATTACTTTATATACATAAGGCATGCAATAATATAGAGGACGGAAAAATAAAAAGATACTTTGGGTCTTAGTTCCAAAGATATTATAATTTACACAGTAATTGTTAATTTTGCTCTATCTTCAATATATCAACATTAATAAATACTTTTTATATTGTACAAGAAATCTTTCAGATTAATACTGTATGTTTGCACGTGCGATTTTAATAAATGAATTATACTTGACATCCTCACTGTTTTTAGTACGGTTGTTCATATAAATGTTTTTTTTTAAAACAGTTAATACGCTGGACGATGGTATTTTAGGGGATAATTTATAGAGATGAGTGGGGAGATGCACAACGCTACGGTTTTAGGGGATACTAAAATCATGACGCTAAATCGTAGCGGCGAGTCTGGAAGTAGGATTTTGTGATCATCCCAACCGTCGACAATGCGAATCCCGTCGTAACCGAGCTAAACGTGAACACGAACGTGTAGCTTGGCCGGCAGAGGTTCTCCGCTACTCGCCGCTGGTTCCCAAAGCAACCCTTAGAACCAGACCGGGAACTATACAGGGTTAGTTAGTAGAAACGTACCAGCAGAAGTTGGCCGCAAGTGGCCGACACGGCAGTGTGGCCTCTTCAAAAAATGACATGTGACTGTGACCGATTCCCATAAGCGCAAACTAACAGTTCGCATAGCAATAAGGTTTTTGAAATATTTCAATAGTTAGGTTACTGAAATAATTAATTAATATTGTAATGACAAAATGAAATATCAGTTAAGATTTATTCTCACAGTGGATAGGGTAGCGGATTCACGACCGAAAGGTTGGAGGTTCGCGCCCAGCTTCCAGCGGCATTCACCAATGGGTTTTCATATGAAAACTTAAGTGAGTATTTATACGGATTTCGCCCAAAGTTTCAAGGTTTCGTTATTAGAAGACGGACAGGCCTTTCTCCAAATCTTCGAACAGGTCTCGAATAACATTCCTAAACTTTTGTCCGAGATGTTCATTTTCCTCCTCGACTTGCGTACATAGACGTAAATAATTGTAAGACAAGAATGACACAACGGAATAATACACAAAATGCTTGGAGGAACTCATTTTTTTCGCATAATCTTTCATGAAGTTTATGTGTATCAGTAATAGCAGTGTCCGCAACATTTAACAGTTTCTCAGCTTGCGAGTAAAGAATTTTTTCCGTAGACGCATGTTTCTCCACTAAATATTTATGCTCGTCCCTTTCCTCCTGAGTTTTCTTTAAATTCTCCTCAGTCGATTGCAAAACGACTTGAGTCCTCTCAAGAACACTTTTCGTTTCATGCAATGTATTACTCTGAGCAGTGTACTCCGATTCTAAATCGCGAAATACTTCCTACACCAGAAACATTCACTATTATAAAAATTCCAGTACTCCTAAATATGCTTGGCCAGAATTTCCAATTTTTAAGTGTTCATATTTTTCTTTACTGACTTCACTAATTATTTCAATGTTCCAAACATCTAATTTATTAATATTTCAATTTGAACGTAATTTATTTTCGATATTCTACAATTTCAATTCAGGTTTTATCTACTCTGTATATTCTGCGAGATTTTGATTTAGCCTCAATTTTATATTTTGTATAAATTTTCAAAGTAAGAGAACCTCTGCCGGCCAAGCTACACGTTCGTGTTCACGTTTAGCTCGGCTACGACGGGATTCGCATTGTCGACGGTTGGGATGATCACAAAATCCTACTTCCAGACTCGCCGCTACGATTTAGCGTCATGATTTTGGTAACCCCTAAAACCGTAACGTTGTATAGCTCCGTACTTATCTATGCACGACGTTCTTAAACCGGTTTACTTATTAGTGATCTAAAGAATAGACAGATCATAGACATTTCTACTTGTAAGAAATATTTGGGATTTATCAATTCTTTTAGATCAGTATTACCTAACCGGTTTAAGACCGTCGTATAAATGTAGTCATAGTTCATTTAAGATACAGAATATACAGGGGCTGATTCCCTTGACCAAATCTCTATGGTGCGATAGTACAGCAAGTGGTTAGGTCATATACTATAATTGAACACAGGTGGTATATCGAAGTGGAATAAGTTTTTTTTTAGCATAATTTCACAAACAATTATTTCTTTCTTTCACCCAATGATAACATTATGGAAATATTCTTTAATGAATATCTTGATGTTGACAGTCGATACAGATACATTTTTGTAAGACAAAATGATTTTTACAATACTGCAACGTCTACGCTACACTTATAATGCACTTAAGTTATAATATTCGGATCATATCTTGTACCACATTATATGTATATACGAAAAATAACTATAGTAATAATTTTTATTAGCATAGGCAAAATTGTTATTTATTGAAATTTTTCTTGAGCACAATTATTTCTTTTCTTTATGTTACACAAATAAACTTATTTATGATAAACGTTATTTAAAATTATAAGATCTTATATATATATAGATTATATTTATATGTAGACACATATGCACATGCGTATTTTCGTATTTATATGGTATACATATATGTGTACATATAATATACATGTTTTATATTCAATTTTCATTTATATTTATATATCGTAATATAATAACATAGCAAAGTCTTTTTATTACACCGGTAATATTAATATCTGACAAAATACAGAATTTTTCTTATGTTGGCGTTTACGAAGCCACATTATTTAACTTTAATTTCTCTCTACTCTTTGTAAACGTTTTGACTTACATTTTCTTTTCGTATTAATCTAAGGATTAGATACACGTCACTAAGTATCTATCCCATTTTTTTTTAAACCCTGGTTGACTTGCAGACATTTTCAAAACGTGTTCTGTACATTGATTTTCGTTTCACGTTTTGTTAGTGAGGATGAGGAAAAATCGGGGATAAGTTCGTCGTAATTCTCTTAAGGAGATATTTAACAAAGTGCGGCGATTATTTTGTTGACATTATGTTTCCTTCGAATTTTCGTTCACCAGTAATACTGTTTATCTAAAAAGAAGATTTATAACAAAATTTATCTCCATGCTGTGCATGCGATTAGCCACGCACAGTATAAATTAATTGAGTTAAGACACGCAAGAAAACTTGCTCATACTTCAACGTATGTAATTTATTTTTAAGAAAAAAGGGTTTACTCTGAATCTTTTGAATTTAAATCTTTCGAATAAATACACAGATCATCGCTCATTAAAGGTATTCTGGTGTTCGTGAACAGTAACGCACAGCGCTCCTTTGTTACGTCTAAATATTAATAATATCATTTGTTATAAGAATACTCAAGAATAATAACAAAAAAAAACCATTCGACCTTTTGTAATTGTTGAGGTCAAAGGTAAGTAGGTACTTCTCGTTAAATGGAACGGGTCGACTTGACGTGATCGAATTATTCAAAATTTTATAAAATCTTACGTAGATTTGAATAAATCGATTGCCAATAATATTCGAGAATATTATTAAACGGTTTCATGGATGAATAATAATATTCCATTGAGCGTATGTACCTACAGTTACTACTGTACTATATGCCATTAGTAAACGATATTCAAAGCAACGGAATGCTTGAGTACACTAAATTCTGAGTATTTTATTTTGTCTTTGAGTTTTCGATGCTTCGTTAGAATCGTGCAGCGTGAATACGAGAGACCTTTGATTGATATTCGAAGTGTTCTTATAGTATCTTTAAAATAAATTTTTTTAAAATTGTTTAATCAACAAGATTTAATATTGAACAAGAGCTCACTACTTCCGGCTAGATCATTGACGTTTCATTCGAGTTTTGCATTTTCTCTTTTTCCATTTGATTTCAATTACTTTCAATAGTCGCCTTCGGCCACAAATTTTTTCTTCAATCTAAAGATAATAGCTAGTTAATGCTTGTGATTCACAAACAATTTTAGCATCGATAGAGTTTCTTAAGATCCCGATGGATTCTCATAGAGTCTGATGAATAAGGACATTGATTCCCAATTAAACTGGACGATTACTTATCGGAAATCTGTTGGTTACTTTATAATTTACAATTCCGTCTTGTAGAGTCACGTTGTCGGTGCGATCGAAGTCGGCGGCGTCGCAGAGCGCCACAGGGAGTTGGCCGATTCGGTGATCGTCGTGATCTGCAAATATTCAGAGCATCAATCCCGGATTTATCTTCATCCCTTTGTCAATATTTTTTTTCATCAATCATTCCTTAATCTCTCCTGGAAATTTACCGAATTTATTTTGACACTTGTTATTCACCATTCACAAAAGTCATTTTCATATGCGAATATTCGAACAGCCACATCCTTTCATCATGACTGTTTCCGCATTAAATATTCATCAAAGCCTTTTATCCAGGATACAATTAAAGCGGTATGGTTTGCACAACAACAAAAAGTACCTTGTTATCACGTGCAATTAATGGAGTTTCCGCAGTAGTCTCGTCCACGGTACGATTCAGATACGGATGCGGTGGTGGCACGTAGACAGACTTCCCAGTATGACTTGCAACTTGAGCATAAATGGTCGGTTCTTGTATTTGTTGGCGTCGCGTAAGTGTCGACATGGGTAACAGCTGAGGACGCTGAACACTGGAAACCGGAACTGGTTGATAACAATTGGGCGGAACTCGCCTTCCGGTTCTCAGTGATAACTCAGCATACGTCAATTCTGATCCCTATGATAAATAAGAAAGAAATTTTACAAAATTTTATCAGACCAAAACAAAATTTCTACTCACGTTGTTCGTGGGAACGAAAGAAGATGGCTCGTTGCGATGTTGTTGTAGTACGAAACGTGGGGAGGTTCCTTTGCAAAGTTCAGCATACGAGCTTTCTGTATAAATATATAAATTAATTATATTAATTGTCAATAGAATCTAATCAGTGGACTAATATAATTTTTCAAAATGACACAAGTCCTTTGCCCTGCTTTCTCGCGTCTCCAGCACATCCCTTGAGGATGTCTCCTTTAAGATATACTAACCGTTAGCATGTGGAATGATGTCAGGATTCTTTTCAAAGCTCTCGATGCTGTCCGTGCTCAAAGGGAGGGTTGAAGATTTTTCATGGGGTGCGGTGAGATTTGACATTCCGCCATCGTCGTGGGAATCTTTATCATCCTGGGGTCGAGGTCGGTAACGTAACCTTACGGCCAGTACTATGACAAAAATTACGAGGAGCAATCCTGCGGCCGCGCCCACAACTGCCCCCAGCAATGGACCAGATAACGACAGCATCACCGGTGTCAATGCTGTGAACAAACGTTTATGATTTGGTTGACTGAAAAGTTTTATTTTATTTTTTATCATATAAGAAAAGCTATGGTCGGCACGTGATATCAATTCCAATTTCTAAGGGGACTCCATCGGTAGTCTTTACAACGTATAACAGTCCCCTGTATACACTATGGAAGTGATGCTGCGGTCCAACTATAGTTCAGAGATAACCTTTTTTTTTACATCTGTCTGACCGGTCGGGCTGCAGTTGTTACTTTCGCACTTTATGAACTACAATTATTTCAACTTGCTTCTCGCGACACTCGAGTCCTGCACAATTCTAACGCTCTTTCAGCCAATTTCACTTTATTCTTCACTTTTATTACGTGATAAATTCCTTGTATATATATATATATATATATATATATATATATATATATATATATATATATATATATAGTGATCTTTCGAATGGTATGCGTCTATATATAGAATACTTTTATATCCTCGATATATAGCTCAGGGTAACATATTATACGAGATGTGATTGGCTGTTGTGCGAGATCCGTGTGATATTGATAAACGCGACTGTTGGTTATTTGTCTTTTTATATATTTTCGACCCCACAATACTCTTCCTGTAGGTTTTATTTTCGACGCTTTAGATTCGAATGATATCGAACCCGTTTTATCTTGTAACGGTTGTACAACAAATGATCCAACTTTAACGAAACGTTAAAGTTACGTTAAACGTTAAAGTAACGTTATATATATATTTAAAAATAAAACGTCAATTTTGAGTTTCTACAAAAAAAGATGTTTCAGCTTGCTGTGACAATCCTATATATCCACACTCTCCAAATACTACGTATGTAAAAAGCATACGTGGACTAGACGAAATGCATGCATCTATACATCTAATAGTAACATAGGTGTATTAAAAAAAGCAAAGCAATTTATGCGCAGGCGATCAGTGATATCTAAAAGGTTCGCCGTAATAAATGATAGTGCAGCTAAGTCACCGGGACGACCAATACTCTGGCCTGGATCACAAAGGATATCTGAATCGTGAAAAGAGTCCAGCTGAAAGTGGACAGATCCGTAATACGTATGAGCGTAGGAAGCGAAACGATATCCTGAACCAAGTCGTGAATCAAAGATTAAAATGTCCAAAGGATGAAGAGCGGAAACCGGAAACGAGCCCGAGATGAAGCGAGTCGAGTCGAATTGTATCGAGTCGAATGAAATTTCGAGTTAAAAGGATTGCCGATGATTGTTTTTGCTGGTAACGAGCCAGACGATCCCCGAGGATAACTAGTGTATCGATAGTTATAAAGAGTTACCGCTAGATGGCGACACCCTCGTTTTTCATTGTGAGAAAGTAAGCTACTGCCCTACCTGGATATCTCTGGTGTTCCAGGGTCTCACCCTCTTGCACAAAGTGCTGGCTGTGCAGTACGGTGGCGTCGCTAGTTGCATGAGCGGTCATGATCCTTAGTGATAGGACCAGACCTGATTGGCTCCTTTCAGCCGGCAGGTCCGTGACCTCGAGTATGCTTGGGGTCAGGCTGGTCGCCGATGCCAGGAGACGCCTGGTGCCAGCATCGAAGACCTGAAGTACATAGGTCGCGGTGTTCGCGTCGAAGTACTCGCTCTCCGCGCAGCTGACCCTCACCGTCGTCGGACTCTCTTCACGGATTGTGCAGTTCTCCGGCGATGGTGGACGTGCCAGCCTCTCACCTGCTACCATCGGGATCCTCACCTCAACTTTGGTACACTCATGCTCGATGTTACTAATATGATTCTTTTTATTTATTTATTTTTTTTGACTACGATCATAGGACTTTGCATTTTTATTTATCGACTCGTAACTGTACACTGATTCGCGAGTTTATTGTCTATGAAGTCGGGGGAAGTGGGGGGAGAGTCGTTTGAAAATAAATATCAAAACCCTTTGTCTCTCAAGACACGATGTGCCATCGATCCCGCAACGCCCGGTCGTCCTTCCCTTATACTTTGTTACCGATAGCCAACCACCTCTTAGTGCGATAAACTTATAGCCCTCCTGGGGAGAGAACGATCCTCCTAGGCTCTGACGCGTTAAACCGTGAGATTAGCCCTTTTCCTAGAGTCCCTGGACACGCGGCATCTTCACGCCGTCCCTTCGATTACCTACTGCCCATTCTCGACGACTACCTTTTTTACGTGCCCTTTGCGATAAACGAGCACGATTACGCGACACGTCGCTAGAACTTACGACGAGGCCAGTTAGAATTATGACGCTCTATTTTTCTCGAAATCACTTGAGGTCCTTGGGATTATCGTTCTTACGTCTTGAACTCGGGAAACTTTACGATTTCTTTCCTTTTCCTCTTTATCTTTTTTCCTTTGTTTTCCTAGGGACGATTATCTTGATAAGCTGTGATTCGTAGCGTGCGTGTCTCGTGGTGTTTTTTTTTTTTCGAATTTCTTTTGTTACGATAATACTCGCTCTTGATTATACGTGGTGCAATTGTCAAAAAATAAATTGAAGTTAATAGATACTATGGTAAAGTCAAAATTTTACGTCCTCGTAGAGCGTTCCAAGACCTATGGACCATCCGCAGGACATTTCTAAGACATTAATCGTGTATGAATAATATACTGACGCAATGTAAGCAATGGTGCAATATTAAATTCGCGACGTTAACTGTATTGGATATAAGAAAAAAAAAAAAAAAAAAAAAAAAAAAAAAAAAAAAAATGCAATCAAAAATATTGATAACGTAACCCTCAGTCTGACGTTACCAGATCAACGTTGTGATAAAATATCTTGGCAATAGTCGACGTGTCTCTTTTTTTTTTTTTAATTTTATAATTATACAGCCACGTGGATTCCTACGATGCAAGGCCGTGCAGCGTAGCAAACAGTGCTCAAAATCAAATATAATGATTATTGGTCGTGGCGACGGATTTTGAGTGATGTGGGTGAGGGTGGTGATGAGGTTGGTTGTCATTGGTCGAAAATTTATCTGACGTTATTTTTCACTCACCTGTGCGTCTTTCTGGTAGATTGAGGGTTGTGGCGCGAAGACGTACAACGTCGCTACGGCCCTTTGCATTGCTGGCGAATATGCTCACGTGGTAGACTGAACCCGCGTCCAATCCTGAGACTGAGAATAATGGATTCTTGCTGGTATAGTTGTAAACGAGACTTCCAGCTTTCAAGGCGTTAGTGTTGCTGTCCATTTCTACTTCCATTGTAAATTTCTGCGGTAAACCACCGTCGAAACCTTCACTGCACTCTACATGTAGTGCATCCGTCGTTTGGTTCAAAATTGAACAATTGTGGGGAGTGTCTGGCCGACCTGTAGATAATGATAAAGCGGCATCGTTAGTTTAGGAGATATATAACATTTAAAATAATTTTTTAAAACGGGCACACGGTTATATTTTTCCAAATTTTGAGAGACAACGGTTTCAATAGTATTTTATATATTGTGTTTTTGAGCTTGAATTTAGGATTTTTTGTCTCAGTATATATTTCGTGATAAGGTCAAAATGTGGAACCGTCTTTACAAACTCATTTTGCTGGTAAACCCTAGATAACTTGACCCAGGCTCAAGTTCCTTTCTGAGCTAATGAAAAGGGTTATTAATTTTTGGCAATTAATTAGAAGCTTTAGCAAAACTGCGGACGTAGTTCAGCTGAGCTTGCTCGATCTTTAGTAAAGAAATCAATGGAAACATTTGGCGTTGCTCCACGACGTTAACTTTTCGTAACTCTTTACATTGCTAATGCACAGATGATATAACAGACTCGACACGACTACGAATATCCTTCTTTACAGTTGGCAATCGTCCAGTTTATCGTGTTAAGTGTACTGTGTTTAATGATACACGATTCATTTACGTTTTCATATATCGCGTATAAAATCATAATTATTAATGTATATTTCATCGTACGTTCTACACTGAAAATTATGAACAGCAAGTGCAACTCTACGCCTAGAATTTCAATGCTTGCATCGCAGCGAAGCTCGAACGCATAATAACCGCAAAAAAAAATGAAAATTTCCAGCATAGTTTCTCCACTAAAGGTAATTACACTAAATCCTTTCAAAATTAAAATTCTCATGTAAAACAAGCTCAAAAAGCAGGTTAAACGCAGAGTTAGCAACGCGCGCAACGAACAAGAAGATCCACTTTAAAAGAAAATTAAAAAGAAACCGTCAACGTGAAAAATGAGCGTCGTTCGTTTTACGAAATGGTGGATAACCCTTATCAAACGAAACTTACCAGCCGGTACAATGTGAAAGACACAAGGTTCATTCTGCGACCCCTGATCGTTGCTACCCCAACACAGCAGCGTGCCGTAATCCAATTCAGTAATAGGAGTATACGAGACGACCGAACGAGTCCGATCAGAAGTTACGTGAGCCTGAGCAATATCGACAGCCTCCATTGTATTATTGAATTTCCAAGTGAAGGAAACGTTCCAAGGATTGGCGTCAAGTTCGCAAGAAATCCTCGCAGTCTCCTGTCGAGCCACGCCGAAGACTTTCGTTTGGCCAGGATGGCAAACAGGAGCGACTATGAGAAATACAATGAAATAATAATATTATAAAGATAAATAATCACGCACATCACGGATTTATAACTGATAATAATACAAATCGACGTTGCTAATGACTGCGTGGGTTTCGTTCAAAGAATAGCACATTATTTCCTGGTGCAAGCTCAACAGTCAACTCACACTTGATGTCCAGGTTGAGAGGGTTGCTCTCACCGTCACCCTCTTGATTACTACCGACACACGTATAAATTCCAGCCCTGCTCCGAGTCACGCTCTGCAGCACGAGACTCTGGTTGCTTACTATCGTTCCTGTAGCCGCGTTGTGGTAAAGTGGATTTCCCTGCGTCAGAAATTGGCGAGAATTTATGAACGCTTTAGTCTGGACAGAGCGTGCGAGAAGGTCTATGTAATTATTTCAAGCTGTTGCACGTAGCGATATTAGCTTTTCTTATTTCTCTATTCCTTTTTTCCATATTACACCATCCGTGCTATTAATTTGATCATTAAACTCACGTTGTGGCGCCAAGAAACTTTGTAAACCCAAGGATTAGACTTGATGTTGCACTCGAAGTAAACGTCCATTCCTTCGCGAATGGCACTTGAATTCAAATTACTACCTAATTCGAGTGACACTACAGGCTCGTCTGTAATTGGTGGAAAATTAAGAATTAATATAACTGCAGAAAGGTTATCCATGATTCATTGTAATATTATGGAGGTCTAATTGCAACTGTTTTTACGTTTCTCACTAATGGACTTACGGTGTATGTCGAGTTTCCATCCGTCCTCCATTGCTGAATCTGGAATAACGGGAACGCTTCCTCTGCAGGAGAGAAACTTTCCAGCATCGTCGATGCTCGGTACGAAAGTTAGGACACTGGTAGTGGTATTGGCGTCGGGACTCATCTGTACGTTATAAAATTTTTATATATTTTTTTTCAATGCAACTAATAAATAAAGCAAAGTAATCTGATGAACTTCCGTTCCAATAATCAATCATATATGTATATACTATTTTAATTAATTATTTATTACCGTCTGACGCGCGTTGCGCAACGTCATGCTTCCTTTGGACCATGTAATCGTCGGCATAGGTCTGGCGCCTACTACTTCGCATCCTATCTCGTAGGTCGTCCCGACGCTTAACGGTCTATTGTCGCTTTGCATGCGAACCCACAATGGTCTCACTGAAAATCATATAATACATTTATTTGATGAACAACAATTTTTTAGAATAAATATTTCACGTGAAATTTATATAAATATTTCTTATGTAAAAGTGAGAGAAAACGTCGATGACGTCACTTACAATTCATGTTGAGCGAAACGGAACTGGATATCGGTGCGACCATGTTGTTGTTCGAAGCCTGACACGTCAATACTGCATGCAAATGTTTACGTTCCAACTTTTCCAATCGTAATATATTTCGAACTCTTTTGGTGCCGACGGTCTCGTAACTGTCGTCCAAAAGGGCATTTTCCTGCCACCACGTAACCCGCGGCTGAGGTCGACCTGGGACAAGAACGCGAGTGACGAGAACCGACAATTGAAAGGTCCGATTTGTTTGTTTCCCGTTTACTTTTGTCATTGAGCAAAAGGATTTTTTCGCACTAATTAGAGCACTCAATTTATTCATTCACGAAGTACTTTTGCCCAGCAATTTTTTGTTTGACCCAACAAGAATTCATCCAAACGCTGACTAACGAGTAACGACAAGTGCAGTGTGCTTTACTTGCATCATTCATACTGGTGCACACTTGCGCGTTTCCATTTTCTGCAGAAAGTATGCAGATGCAAGCTAGTCCTTGTTTATGGGTGCTTTAAAATATTGTGAGAACATCTCGTTCTTTTGAAACTGTTAAATACTACTGTGAATTACTTGTTCAGCAAAGCTAATTGTCATAAAGATTTGGCTCATTGTGTAAGATCTAATTAAGCATTTATTGTTATATTTATATTCGTTGTTTGTATCATTCATTATGAGCTAATGAAATGTCACTCGCAGCATAAAAATAATTATTGCTACATCGACAGAATAAGGTTGAACAAAATGTAAACCTCCTGAGAATGCTTTTTTGAATAAATTAATATGTTGTATAAGTAATAAAATAGTGTAGAGAAACTTACCACCTGCAGCGACACAAGTAATATTAAGTGATGCACCTTCGCTGTATGGTCCAAGAATATAATGGGGAATGTGGGAACCCCCATCTTCATCCAATATGCTTAGTTGTTCTGGTGGAACTGCGGATGAGAAATTTAGAAAATAATATAAAATCACTTATACAAAGTTGTTATTGATAATTAATACAAAAATTACTATTGATTTATGTGTAAAGTAATCTGACATCATCATTTGCAATGACTTACTTATAACAGTAAGATTGACTTTACTGTTCCTTGTAGGTGATTGTTTAAAGTCAACTCTGCAACGATATACAGCTGCATCACTCTCACGTACAGATTCAAGACTGAGCTTTGCAGGTTCCTCGGAATGCCGAAAGAATGCTCTTCTGCCAAGACTAGGATCCTGCCAGTGTTTTCCTTGTTCCAGAGCTGCCCGACCTCTGGTGTCAAAGCTGAAATGAAAAATCAAAATCGTTAGACTCAACATAGGCATTCCTTAAGGGTACAATTTTTTTCAAAATTCTATGACAGTTGACAAAAATAATGATACATAATTTTTTAAGTACATATTAGTCGAATAAACATGTTACAATAATAATATTTACCTGTAAATCGGCGTATCCGCACTTACACCAGAATCTTGTGGCACATCTTTATACCAGATAACAAGATGTAGCCTGTCACCAGGAACTGGAGGTTCAACGTCACATGGTAATTGCGCAATACCTCCTGCCACAGCCTGGGCATCAGTCATCGTTACTAAAACAAAAAGATTGATGGTTACGTAAGGTCTGAATAAGTGTAAACGCCTATTTTGAAAGTAACGACAGAAATCCAGAACGTCATATTTTATGTTCGACAGGGACCGATATCTTTGATATTCGTAACGAAATTATTCACGAAAATGGCTTCTTATTCCATAGTGACAACACCATCCGTCGCGTCCATAATAATGGTTTACGATATTTTGTACGACAGGATTGATGGATCTTTTAATCCATACACAATGACGGAATAAGAAATGCCCTCCGAAAGACAATAGTTAAGAGTACACCTTTTCCCGCTCTATTCAAATTTACTGCAAGCCTTATATTCCTTAATGCATTCTCTGCAATTCTAAACTTATTGGTTAATGTACTTGCAGTGCATGTAACTTTTCAAGTAATTTGACAGCAATACACATACATACAATCGTCTATAGAAACTACAAGAAAAGGGTTACGTAAGTTTTCATGAAAATTTCTTAGTATTCCCCAAAGTTTCGATTACCTCAAGGCTGTTGACTCTGGTACGTTCTAGAAGTACGATATCCACGTTCTGTTATTTATCTTATAGAAACGTTAATACGTAACAACTTGCTAAATCGTCTAGCAAAAGTTTCCAACAACCCGATATCCGTTCAAGTTGTGACATAAAAGAATCTTTCAGAAATCCATACACCCACTTACTTTTATAATCTACAAACACAATCATAAAAGTATTTCAGTAATTTAACACGGCCTCCCCCAATGTCGCTGCGAAGACATCAAACATCCACGAATTAATTCAACTCACGTCAGTCGCTGATAACTTGAATTTGGGCGAATTCGTATGAGTCGATTTCATCAGTATTATTAATCCGTACTTTTCCCACGTTGGAATTTCAATCTAAAAGGTTTTTCAGGATCTTCGTGAAATGCGTCGTCAAATTTATCAACCCGCCCCCCC